GTGATTTCGAATTTTGATTGTATTCATAAAAGCAATAAGTCATTGTCTTCATAAAAACAAGATATAATATTTTTATTTTATCATTGCTTGAGTTTGAATGAACTAGAAATTCGACCATTTTAAATCCAGTAAAGCCAAACTAAAAAGGGTAAAATCGGTATAGAAAACTAAATTAAATCAATATATTTTGATTATTTATCAGTTTGAAATTTAATTTAGAATACTCTCAAAATGAATAAAACACATATTTAATAAGATTAAAAATTATTATATAAAAAATGTTATTTAAAAAAACTTATTTTATTTAGATATTTTTAAATTATCTATGATTTAAATATATTTGTAATCTTAAATTTATAACCATAAATATTGTTTTAATTTTAAAATTTAAACTTAAAATATTAAAATATGTTATAATCTTTTAATTTTACTATTTAAAGATTAAAATTATAAATTAATAAAAACTAAAAATTTTAAAAAATATATTTTTTAATTTTAAAAATTAAAAGAAGATTTATTATATAAAGATTAAAACTATAATTAAACAATTATTTTTGACTGAATGTTGGTGGACTAGACCCAGTAGTCCACCAACTAAAATGATAAAAGCCCGACACGAAAATGGGCTCAGTGCATCTTATTCATGCAATTGTAAACTAACCCCGTTGATGAAGATCCAATGGTTCTAATTCGGGTGCATATTTTAATTCTGATATACCGTGTACATTATGATTTGCTACCCTTATCCAAAGGTTACCTTTAGCCCTGTGCGTGAACACTTGAAATCCTGGACTGCGCAGAATCTGGGTTCCGCGGACACAGCTGCAATTCAAATTCTGTAATTTGTTTCTTCCTTTCTCTGATAGTTTGTGGCAAACACTCCTATTCCAATTTCAATTGAAGGCCCTTGATATTGTAATTGTACTTTAGGTTACCCTTTTATTTGTGTTTTCATCAAGTAAAACGCTTATCTGCCTTTGTTAATTGCTGGTGTTGTTATTTTCAGGTTCAGTTTGCCCAAAATGCCGGACGTTCAGACCCTTGTCAATGATTTTCTGAATCAGCTTAAGAAACGGTAATTTTTATTCTTCTCTGAGACTGTTTGAGTTCAATGAATGGTGCATTAGGAGCCATGTGACTTTTGTGGCTTAGGAGTGATTTTTGTGGTTTTCTGTTTGTGTCTTTAATTTATTGTATATTCATTGTTTATTTGTGATTTCTTATTTATTTATTTATTTTGCTGAGTGATGCTAGTAAAATTGAAGGTTCTCAGGCCACAGCCAAGCTCACAGCCGAGTTGCTGCGGTCTGTGATATCACAGCAGCGGGTGCCGCACACAAACCAGGCCACAGCTCTGATTTATGCCGTGAGGGCTGTTGGGGAGCAGCTTATTGCTGCCAATCCTGTTGGTATGTTAATATTAATGTTTTTTTACAAATAAATATGCATGTTAGAGACCCGACGTTAACTAGGGAAATAGCCAACGTTTAACATAATATATATAAGCGAGGACAACACTTATTTCATGAACTAGCCTTTTAGTTGAGTTAGACTCAAATCCGAATGCAAATATAGTATTAAAATCTATCCTAATGGTTGTTGTTTGGCCTAACCGATATTAGGCCACTAGCAGATGTCCAATTCTGCAATATTGACATTTGTGATGTTTATTCATGGGTGTGAGAGCAGTGGTTTAGAGATATCCTACATTGACTAGCCATATAAGTGGTATAAGTGAGAGGTAACTCTCACTCCATGAACTAGCTCTCGAGATTGGGTCAGATCCTAACCCAAACTCTAAGATGCACTTTGTATGTATTTTTCTCAATGATTATAACTGTTGAAGCGTACTCTTTTGGGTTTTTTGCTACCTGAATGCTTTGGTTAGTTAGGCTTTTGTTTTGTAATGTTTTATGGTCATTGATAGTCATGTGACCCGTACCAACAAAGGCCATGAGACTAGGCCCTAGAGAAATCAAAGAAGCCAGATCACCTGAAGGTTTTCTTTTGGTGATGCTCGACCCATTATCTTTCAGTTGAAATTTTATATATTTTTTTATTCAAAGATTTGTTCTTGTCCTCAAATTCAAGGAAATATATATGTCCCCTATCAGTCACAAACTGAAGTTTATTGTGCTTTGGCAACTATGGAGATTGATTTGTTGTTTTCCTTTCACGACATGTACTGTGCGCGAGTTGCAGAGCTAGCTGTGGGAAATATCGTGAGACGTGTTTTGCACATTATAAGGGAAGAGGATCTTTCCCTTGCGACAGCTGCTATGGCTGGTTTGGGGGTATCAGCTGCAAGTGACGATGAAGATGACATGGAGCGAGATGAAAATTCTGTTTTATCTGCTGCTGCTGTAGCAGCTGCTGCTAGGAGTACACTACGACCACCGTCGTTACAAACTCTTCTAGAGGATACGCCTGATTCAGCTGCTGCTCCACACACCTCTTCTTCTGGGGGTGAATCTGATGGAAGAAGTAGATGTGAGGATGACACTAGGCTATTGCGATTTTCATAACTTCTATACTATTTTCCAAGATATTTTCTTTTTGCTTCTTAATTAGAAAGGGTTTTGCTTTACAGTATATGCAGACATTCATGGCTAAATGCAATAAAGAAGTCATTCTTTTTTATTTCATCCTTTTGCATGCAAAAATCCATGTAAGAAAATAATGATTTTTGTTAGTTTTGATAATTTCCGCTGATGCATAAAATATTATCATTTTCTCAATAGTTTAAAGATATTACAATACTTGATTGACTTTTTAATGGTTGTTTATTTGTTGATCCCTGTGAATAATTACTGTCTCCTCTCCTTTTGTAGCATTTGATGATGAAATATTTGTTGTTGTGTTGGTGTTTAATTGCATATCTTTTTGTGTTGAGTTTTATTTTCCCTTTCTACAGCTGTTGATAAAGGTTCAAGAGTTCGGAAGTTGAAGCATGATGTCATTGAAGCAGTCAATGAACTTATTCAAGACATATCTACTTGCTATGAACAAATAGCTGAGCAGGCAGTGGAGCACATTCACCACAAGTTTGTTTCCATGAAACTAGTCTCTCTCTCTCTTTCTTTCTTTCTCTCTCTCTCTCTCTCTCTTTATATATATATATATATATATATATATATATATATATATATCTAGATATTTTAAAGTACTAGTTTGAAAATATATTATACTTGCTTTCCAAAAGCAAAACTGTTCTGTAACTGTCAAAAGCTTGCATTGAAACTTCTATATATTTTGAGCCTGCAATGTTCCAGTAGTCTTGCTATTTATTTGGAATCAATCCTAATAAGGCTTATTATGGTCTAAATGGGTATTTATATAAAGGGTTCCAACACTCATGAACTATCCTGTTAATGGAGCATTAAGATTTTGTTTCCTGAGTTGAATATTCTTATCAGGCCTTACTAGTGATCAGTACATTATAACTATTTCTTGATGTTCTGATATGTAATCATAAACTAAACTGTTAATTTTATTTATAACCATTGTATAGGAGGGAATGCACATGTTAAGTGTCCAATTTTGTAGGAAGATTCCAACTACTTTTTTATGAATATGTGGCAATTATTTTGCTGGGGTTGGCTGACACTATTAGTCAAAGAACAAATTTGAAGGATACAACATTACCTCAGAATATCATGTTTATATTTATTAACTACCGTTTAATTTACAACTACAGACAATATAGTCTTCATTATTTAATCTTTTTGATAGTAACTCTGACTTGGTTTGTTTTTTGTATATTGGGAAAAAGAGTTATCTTATGCTGATGTTTCTCAAATTTAAGATTGTTTTGGATTGAGAAGATTGCTTAATCTACACTGCTAACATTATGGTTCATATATTTTCCTTTCAAACATTTTTCTTAAATTCTTGGAATGAAATAACCAAGGCAATGACTCTTCTGTTGATTTTTGTGATCATGTCTTGTTATTAGAATTTTTTTTTCTTTTTTAAATAAAGTTTTTTATTTTCTTACACTGATGATTGCATGTTTTTCAGTGAGGTAATTTTAACGCTTGGCAGCTCAAAAACAGTGTTGGAATTTCTTTATGCTGCGAAGGAAAAACAAAGATCATTTAAGGTCTTTGTTGCTGAAGGTGCCCCAAGGTTAGCAGTTGTGGCTATCCCACATTTGCATGGAATGATGGTGATTTACTAGCAATGAACATGTTTAAATTTGTTAAGACCATGTCATGATGACTGCGTGTGCAATCAGATATCAAGGACACATCCTTGCAAAAGAATTGGCTGCAAGAGGCTTACAGACCACAGTAATTACTGATTCTGCTGTTTTTGCCATGATTTCCCGAGTGAACATGGTATGTGAAAATTCTGCATAAGTTCTGGAATCAATCAAGACTCTTAGTACTGAATTTAAGTTGATTTAAACTTACCATTATATAGGTTATAGTTGGAGCTCATGCTGTAATGGCTAATGGTGGAGTTATTGCCCCAGTTGGGTTAAATATGGTTGCACTTGCTGCTCAAAGGCATGCTGTTCCATTTGTTGTACTTGCTGGGAGTCACAAGGTGAGTTCTTAGCATGCAATATCTTTGTGCCTCACATTTGGCATGTTCTTAGGAAACAATAATGCTCATGACTATTGATGTCTCTATAATTTACTTCCTGTTCTTTAAATCTGGAAATATGATGATTGGTTATTGTGAAATTCATGGGTGAGACACAAAATATGATTTATTTTGTGTATATGTATGGAATTGATAGTTGTTAATAGATTAGAGACATTACGGTTTGTACATATCTAAATTGGAAATATCAAATAGATGATCAATGTAGTGTTTTGAATTTGTTTTCCTGGAATTTTCAGAATGAATCGCCAAACAATATTTGATAGTGTGAACCAAATATTAGGGAAAAGAAGTATGATGAGTTTGAGTCAAATTTTTATATGGATCCACGACACTATTTTTAACCTTTGCATCTTCTTTTTTCTTTTTCTTAGTTAACCCGAAATGGATGATAGAAATAGTTAGCGAGCTATGAATGGTGAACCCAAAATGTTCAATTACATGTTAATCCTTGTTTATGCTATTTAGACAACTTTTGTTATTATTATAAACTACAATATGCAAAACATCACTATGGAACTAGGACATCCCAACCTCCTGACCTAATTGACGGGATTTGTAGAGATTTGAAATTCTTAATTTAAAAATATTCTGTATGATGCTAATGAAATAGATGCTTGCCTCTTAGGTGTTGACTCAGTTAAGTTGTGCCCAAATTGTGATAATATTACTAATAATACATACTACCTCCATGATTTCCATTAATTTCTTTTAAGGAAACTTTGATGCCATTTAAAAATTAGTTTGTGATCTCCTTGATCATCTCAGTTACCAACTCTTAGGTTTTTGCTGAGAATTGTTATATTTTGTTGACAGTTGTGCCCCTTGTATCCACATAATCCTGAAGTCCTCCTGAATGAGCTGAGATCTCCATCTGAGCTGCTTGATTTTGGGGAATTTTCAGATTGCATGGATTCTGCAAGTGGCACGGGATCTCTTCATGTTGTCAATCCAACATTTGATTATGTGCCACCAAAACTTGTTAGCCTCTTTATTACTGACACGTAAGTTGAACCGAAATTGATTGGAAGAGCTTGCTTTCCTTTATCATTGATCATAGAAAAATGAGGACACTGATCAGTTCCTTTTCTGCACTCACCTGATTACATCACAGGGGAGGGCATAACCCATCTTATATGTACCGGCTCATAGCTGATTACTACTCAGCTGATGATTTGGTGGTGAAACGTAGGCCTACTGCAGGGAGTTGAGTTGAGTTATCCCAAATTTTGTCCTATAACTGTAAGTAAGCAATTAAATTGCATGTATGTATTATATTTTGTCATTTGTGTGTGGAAGTTGGTGTCTGTGCACAGTTGCTATTGTAATAAACTCATAATATCTGATCCTATCTGGGTTTATCGAGATGGGACAACAGCATGTTACCCTTTTACTACATTGATATGATTTCCTTTCCTTCAATAATTCTATGCTCAACTCTTGTTTCACTATTCTTCATTCTTTTGGATGAGCATTTTATTTCATTTTCTATTCATTAATAATCCCCCTTTAAGATACAATTTTTTATTTTTAGTTAAACTTAAATTTTAAATTTTTGTACGTTGTATCATATTCAAGATATCTTTCCCTTTCAGACCACTCAATTCTAAAATTTATAATCTAAATCATTTTTAGTTTGAATAGCAGGGTACCATGTTGATAAATATAATGTTACAATCTTAATTTATTTTCAAAGTTTTCTCATTAATTGTAAATGTTTTTATTTCTTTGATTTATTCATTTTTATGTAATAAAACAATAATTATTAATAATAAAAATATTTATTATCTTTAATTTATTTTTAATTAAATTTTGAAAAAGGCATGTAATGAATTTTCTGTTATAAAGGAAACATCTATTCAAGGACATTTGGGTGATCCCCTTTCAGGTTGTTGGTCTTGTTCTATGAGACATGTTCACATTGTGCAGTTGAAAATGAACCTCATCTAATGCTGAGAATTGAGGTGGAGAAATTGTGCCAAAGTAAAATTTTCTTCTAGTGGTTGCTGACTTTGTGGACAAAAACCTTGTCGCTTTAGTTGTCTGTTAACAATGGTCTCCCAATTTATATTGTACATTTTGGTTTCCTCATAAATGATAATTCTATTTTCGTCTTTATATATATAAAAAAACTTACACTCTATAGTTATCTAAATTGTTATTTCAACATGTGGTTGCAAATAACGTCTAATTTGCTATTTGAACAATTGAAAATCCTAGATCATTTAAAACATAATGGTCTGTGATGAAATGTGTTAGAAGTTTTAAAATAAAAGTTTTTTTTTCTTTTTATTTTTGTATAATAGAAGTTGTGAAGAAATTAGGATAAAAAACATGAGAAGGGTGTTTTAATATAATAAATATTTTTGTTTTGGTCATTTAATGATTCATGTTTTGAGTTTTTTTAATATCAAATCAAATTGTTTGTTATTATTTTTAATAACTGGTCCTAGAAGAAATTGTAATCTCTTTAACTAATAGTAAAAAAATGTCAATTAACATTGTTTTTAAATTAACATATTTATTAAAATATTTCTCATGAGTTGATAATTGATATTCAAGTAAAATACAATTTTTATAAAGTAATTTTTTATTAAAAAATTGTGATATGATAAATTGTTTATTTTTTTTATACAAAAATAAACAAAATAAAACAGATGAGATGAGAAAATATACGAGAGAATAAATTATTTAAAATTTATTATTTTATTAATAAAATAATATTATATATATATATATATATATATATATATATTATATGTTTTTAAGATAAAAAAAAACTTTTAAGAGAATTATTCTTATGATCATCCCAAATAACAGTCATTACATGTACCTTTTAAACTAGCAATTTTTTTTTTCTCACTAGTTTTATTTGTTTATGGTACCGTTTACACTAACAAACTTTTGTTTTTCTCTAGTGTGATTTGTCATCGTCCGTAAGTTTAAATTAATTTGTATCTTTTCATTTAACATTTTTCCAAAGAAATTAGTCAGTGTCTTCTTTCTCCAAGTACAAAACTTTATTTTTTAATAATTGATAATGAAACTCTAATCTGTTCATTCCAGAAGATATGATGACAAAGCTAGTATAACACTGGTTCAGTGAATAATTCTCTAACATTTCCTGCGGAATGATTTATTTTGAAGGAAACTAGAAAATTTTTTAGTCCCTTCACTTTCCTTGTATCTCTCCTCCAAACTTACAAACCAAATAAAAATATTTTGATTTCTCTCCCCTCCTACAAAAAACAGTTGGCAAGTCTCTTTTGTCCTTTCCTTCATAAATTGATTACTGAATTTCTTTATCTACTAAACAAACATCACATCTAGAAAGAGATGCCTTCCTAGTGGTAAAAGCAGATATTGACAACAATGGGGAAAATTGAGAGGGGGCAGAGAATGTCTACAAAAGATTCACTGTGATAGCAGAAAGAACATGCATTTAACTATACCAATCAAGAAAGAGGACAGAAAAAATAAGCACAAATAGAAACAGGAGAAGAAATGTCCTGCTGCTGCTATTCCGCTGAACGGCCTGTGATAGTTCTTTGTTGCCAAACTCAACATTCTTAGTGGCTTCAACAGCCTGTAAAAGTCAGCAGAAGCGCACAATAATATTTCTTAGAAATTGGAAATGCAGCTATTTTTAGGCAGAATAAACAAATCGCACAGCACTGTTGACTACAACGAGGTAACCAGTGAAAAATATTATATAACTTCATGGTATTTAATTAAAACATAGAATGTGGATATTGGAATTATTAGGTGTATAAAATATTGATTATTTATTGTACTTCTGAAAATTTTAGTTTTCTCGGGGTTATTTCCTACTGGGGGTGTTTTTAATGAATTTATTTCAGGATTTTGGTGACTTATTACCGGGGTATCAAGCGGGATTTGTATATTATTAAGACTGTCTAAATACTAAGATTTGCAGATTTAAGCCTTGAATCTGAGATGCATCAAGCATAACTACCCTATTTTTATGTATGTGATCTATTTCCTTCCCCTGTTCTACTCTAATTCCAGTTTGGTATCACTTAGATTTACTTGGAAGGTGGAAGAATGCGGGGCCAGGCAGCATAGACAAGATAGATGGCAGCCTTAAAATGTTCCCAGAAATCAATAGTGAAGAATATATAATGTTATCTAACCTGCTCATAAAGAAGCTCAATTTGCTGAGCTTGTTGCAAAACATGAGTAGACATGAGGTGATTCAGTGCAGACACTTCCACCATCTTAGTTTCCGTTTCTTGAACTATGTCGATATGACCAATCAATTCCATCTACAGGAAAAGAAACAATGGCAAAGGGTTAATTATAAGAATCTAAAAATCTTATTAAATAGATGACAGAATAAGTCCTACACAAATTCATAAAGAAATCGACTTTTATCACCTGCAGGGCACGTGTTTCATCCTCCAAGAGTTGTTGTTGGACTCTTAGAGGCTCAGCACGTAACTCTTCGGGTTCTCTGAGCTCCATGTCATCTGATTTAGAGGTTTCTGCAGAATCTTTTCTGGCTACACGCTTAAGTTTTCTCCGTGGTATTGTTTTGTTAATAGCATCCTGGAAGCGTACAGCTCTAAGCTGATCAAACTGTGCAGTAACTGTATGAAGTCTCTCGCTTAAGATTAGAACCTAAATTGAGGCCAAGTAAACATTAACATACAAATAAAGTAAATAGCCATCTCAATTCATGGCATACATCTCAATAGAATAACATTATCAAGCATCAACTCTGCATAAGGGATCGCGAAGATTGTCCCATACATCTGCTCAACCAACATACGTAACTAATAACTGAAAATTCAACAAGCACAACATGTCCTCACCACCCCATGTTTGTGGGCAATGGTGTCGGCATTAGATTTTGTAGTCGCAATGCCAAGCCAACCTTTCGAAGTTTCCTCTTCTTGATTTATACTATTCATAAGAATATCAATTTGTTCCTGGCATGTTTTAACAAAAGTACTAACCTGCACCAAATTAATTACAAAATAATTGTAAGTGATATGCAAAACTCTGTACAACTTCTCAAGGATGCTATGATCCAAAAAGACAGAAAAGGCTAATAAAAATTACATATACATAGGAAAAGCCCAAATTGCTTACCAGTCTTAAAATAAGTACTATTTAACACATTGTTGTGAGTTTTGAACTTTGAAATAATTGTGTGAACAACAGATACAAAACCAAACAGCCTTTGAAAATTCAACTATTCACTGATTTGTCAGAAATCCTTAGGAAGGCAATAAAGAGATAGAACGAATGTATAGTGCTAGCAGTGAAAAAACAAAATTTAATACCAGCCTAAGAAGGACCATAATCTAAGCACGACATCCCCTAGCATACATATCGTAATCTCTTCTATCTATCACTCGGTTCTTGATCAGTTTCTTGGTAGTTGCTAATTTATCTTTCTATTGGCTGTTTCTTCCCCTAGATCAAGGCTCAAACTCATGTCTTATCATGTACAACACAGTAATGAGAAAGCTCTAAATCATCAGTACCAGCCAACAACAGCCATAAAATCATGCGCAAGGCAAAACGCCAAACTTTTGCTAATATGTAACCATTGTCCAATCATCATGTATGGCACCACAATACTCTTATAACTAGAATTCCAGCTTACTTCATGCTCGATGCTATCTCTTTCCTTCTCTGTGGAGCGATGCAGATCCGTATAGTCCTTTCTATGCTTCAACAAAAACTGATCCAGCTCTCCAATACGCTCTAACTATAAACAAAGACCAAAAAAAAAGGTCACGTTACATAAAATGAGCACTACACAACACACACTACTAACAGAAATAAATTAATCATAGCTAACTAAAAAGAACAATGTTAAACCAAGTCTACCGTCTTCAATGCGGCTTTGAAAAGTGAAGATCTTTGCGGGGGTTTATGAATAATGAAAGATGCCATAATTGACGCCAATTTAGCCTGCCAAGCGAATTCAATAACAACTCAATGCTCAAACCAATAACCAATTCGAATTAACCCTTATTCAGAAACCCTATTTAGCCAAACCCAAACGTGGCATTTTGACAGAAAAAAAAAAATTAAAGATTTGAATTATTTAGATCACGAAATTTTGAATGGGGAACCTCGTCGTAGCCCAAAGAGCGAGCGGTTTGGCGCACGGCATCTTTGAAATCCTCGGTTCTGTCCCTTGCTTTTCCCATCTCTCAATTGCGATCGATCAATGGGAATTCAGAAAGAAGCAAAGGAACCGAGATATCGTGCGATGCGATGCGATGCGATACGATATGATACGATTCAATGAGTTTCAATTTCGAATTTGGAATGATTCTATCGTGCCGTTGCGCTTGAAAGCGTGAAACTTATATACGGGTCGGAAAAAGGCACTGAAGGAAGCTCTGCGAAACCTAACCGAAGAGAAGACGACGATGCTTTCATCAGATCCAAACGCTTCGTTTCATACCATAGTAAAGTTCTTTCTTGTTCCTTACTCTTTAAAATTAATTAAAATAATGATTTAACAAAAAAAAGATTCATATTTTTATTCAATCGCTCACTAATAACTATTTTCAAAGTTATATTCACAAATAATTTTAATTACTAGAAGTAAACTTATCCATATAAGGCTATTATCATATTATTTTTTCCTCCAACAGTCTATTTAAATTTAAAATAAATATTTCAAATTAATCAACTTTTTAAAAAATATCTATTTAAGAAAATAAATAGAAATAACTTGTTTATTTTTATTCATTCTAAATACTTAAATTTTATTAAAATGATAATTTACACTTTAGGTAGACTAATTTAATTGTTATCACCAATTTTTTCTTTTTATCTAATTTTACATATATAAGACATTCTAATTAATTCTTACGTTTACATTTAATAGCAACATTATGTTATAGCATTAGTTAAATAGAGATAAATGACACAATTTTAAAAAAAAATTTAGCATTTAAAAAAAAATTATAAATATCTTATTTATTAGAATATTTTTATAAAGTTTGTTGTATTAATTTATTTTTATAACACTTATATAATAACATTTCTAATTTTTATTGGTAATATCTTTATGATGTTGCAGACGAAAATATAATTTACTTAAGTGAGTGAAATTATTTTAATAATGAAAATATTTATTATTATTTTTAGTTTATGTAAAAAATTACAGTACTTTCTAGGAAAGTGGAGATAGTAAAAAGAATTGAACCTCCAAATTGTAGCAAAAACTAGAGACCCTAATTAATGAATAACAAAAATATTTAAATCTTATCAAATGTTTACACCAAATTCCTATATTAATTAAATTCATGTCTCATTAACGGATTTCAGTTACATTTTTTTTTTCAAATGAAACATTCTTTTGCCAAATTGTAAATGCAAAAAAGAGAGAGAGAGAGAGTAAAATAAAAATAAAATAAGAAGTTACAAAATAACAGGAGTTTCAATCTTAAAAAAAAATAATACTCTCAAATTTGATTAAAAATATTAATTATTTTTTTATATATTTAAAAAAAGAGTTACATTAATGTTTATATTTCCAACATTTATTAAATTAACAAAATTAGAGGAAACGTTCACCAATACAATTTGGAAGAAGACAAATATTTACAACATATTAAAGCAAGAGTTATTTTAATAAATGACATGTTTACATAAGTTTTTTATATGTGAATAAAAATTTTAAACTATCAATCAGTCACTTTTAATATAATCTTAGAGACTAATAAAATAATTAAGAAATAGAGATAAATTTCATTATTGGTATTCTAATCATTACAAATTTAATTAAGGAATTGAATTTAAGTGATGAACTTGTTAAACCAAAAATAGGATGGATAGAGTATAATTCTGTTACATAGTACATAAAAAAAATCATAATTAATTTTTCATCATTTTGTTTATACGAGAAAATATGTTTCAATCATTTGAAAAGAGTGAGTTCAGGTGAATTGTAAAAAGGCAAAGAATGAAGAACCTATAAAAGAACACAACTTAGGACAGAGTGTTGAGGAAGGGAATATACTCAGAGAAACAGAAACAAGTTTCAGCGTCATTGTCCAGTCAAATTCAGCATCAGTTACTTTCTATAATGTCATCACAGGTGCTTGTTTGGTTTCCTTGTTGTATCCATAAGAAACAAAATTCACAACTCCCAAACAATAATAGAATATTGAACCATTAGTATGTTACTTTTGGTTACCTTGGACTTTTAAGCTCCTCATTTATTAGAACATTTTGTATCCAAGTCCCCCCCATTGTCCCTCCACACTGTAAAGTAAATGCTTTCTGCAGAAAATGGCATGAATCTGAATATCTGATTCAAGCAGTTTCTCTGTGCTGTGCTTGCTTGAGTCTTTGCCCTTTGCATGCAACTCTGGTGACTAGGTCAAAATGAGATTAGATCAAAATGGTATGTGAGTTCACCTTGGTATCTGTAATTTAATGTTTATACAAAAGTTATACATTTATTTTACCCCTTTAATGCAGGGTTTTGAACCCTTGATAGTTGATCCAAGGAAGGGTTGCTGATAGTAATTGTGTGAGTTTTGGCTTCTATACTCAAATTTACTGAACTTCCCTAGATTTATATTTTATTTGATTTTTGTTTATTTTTTCCTGGCTTAAAATTCCAGGTTTTACTGCTAATAGTGATATCTGTTGTCTTGTACCAAAAAAATGTGGGGCATTCTAAGACAAACTCAGCATCAAGGAATGAAATGTAAGAGAGGAAAAGAGAAGGTTCCTGCCAAAGAAGAGAACATAAAGGCAACTAGGAAAATTAGAATTGTGTATACTGACCCTGATGCCACAGATTACTCAAGTGAAGAAGATTCTAAGTTGTTGAGCAATGATTATCAGTTAAATGGTTGCTCAAAGAGGGTTGTCAAGGAAATTTTGGTTCCATGCATGCCAAGGAAATTGCAAGAAGAGAATTATTCACAAGATGTCAACTGTGAAAAGATCAAAGCAAGTCCAAGTCCATGCCATTTTTCAAGTAGGAGGATGAGGAAACCATCAAGCATGTACAAAGGTGTTCAACGTAGGAAATGGGGGAAATATGTGGCAGAAATTAGAGACCCTGTTCAAGGGGTCAGAGTGAGGCTTGGTACATTTGATACTGAAAAAGAGGCTGCTATGGCTTATGAGAGAAAGAAGAATGAGTTTGAAAGGCATTTGTTGGATTCGAGCAAAAGGGATGCAGTGACTTGTGACAGTTCCAAAGAAGTATTGTTTCATCCATCTCCATCGTCAGTGCTTGATGTCAGCACTACAAAAGCTCCACTAGATGTTAATGACCTTAATGATTCGGTCAAAGAAAATGTCAATGTGGAAAAAGTTGGTGAAGGAGGAGGCATTGATGTTGAACCAGTTAATAGTGAAGATAATTCAATCCAACGTTTGCTGGATGAGGCAGTTGTGCCATCACTGTTTGGTCACGGTGATCTCTATTTGGATGAAGTAGAGAAAGGGGGAATGCTGCTTGGGAATGACTTTTATAATTTCTTGGAAAATGACATGAAAGTTGGTTTTATGTGGAATGTGGAACATGGGGAAGGTACTGTCCTTCCTCCTTTAGACAGTGCTTTTGACGAGTTAGCTTGGATTGATGAAACTCTAAATTGGGAAAGCTCTTAAAATTTTGTAACTATTAAGATAGTGAAACTAGTGGCTATTTATAGAGTATATAGGCTAACAAAATGAGTTTTACCATATTGCATTTAATTGTTGAGGCTTTGCTTTCCATTGTCAAGAATCTTGTTACCTTCATTTGGAGTTTTTCAATTTTGTTAAGAAACTACATTTGTTTCCTATTATGTTCAGTATGTCCACATATCTTCAATTTTTTTCCTTCTTTCTTATTATATCCACTTTGAAAAGACATTGCTCCCAACTGAAACTTTATTTGGTTTTGGCTACTGTTATTACATAGAAAATCAAAACAAAAAGAAAATGCCAAAGTAAAGGTTAAAGCAAAAGCATTACAGTCACAAGGAATACATGTTCCCCTCATGAAATTTTTAGCTATTATTTTTCGCTTTGACGTAAGCAGAAAAAAGACTAATTAAACATGAATCACTTGAAAATATCCTTCTCTATATTCATGTTCTGCTGGTGGAATTGCCAAGATTGATGATAACGATACTATGAGACTGTACAGATAAATTTCTTAGTAGGTTCTTATAAAAAAAAGAAAAATATGAAAAAAAGATGAACTTCTCAATTAACTAAAATTGATTTATAAGTTAAAAATTAAAAAAATATATAAGAGAGTTTCAAGAATAAATTCGAATAAAATTAATTTTAACTTACAAAGATATTAATTTTAATTTCTTTAAGAAAGAATTATGAAAAAACCCCAATCTACTCAATAATGGTGTGATTTCTTATAAATTCTTATAAAATCTATTGCAATTACATATTATGATATAAAGCAACCTTAATTTTTTTTAAATATATAATTCACTGGTTTTTTCCCCGGTTGGACAGGGAGTCCAGAGCAGCTTAAGGGCTGATAAGACTGCAAATCACATCTTTTGGTTTAATCAAATAACAAAAGTCATATGTCAAGTGTGTGCTTGGATTTTGCTAAAATAGCCTAATGGATAAAAAATTCTTTTCAGGTTTTCTTCAACATGTTGAAGTGAAGGATAAAGAAAAACAGCCTCAACTTGTGTTAACAAAAAGAAAACCACCATGATGTGACTAAACTATTAAGTATAAGCAGGACCTGTAATGTGTATTAGGAGCCTTAGAGGTGAACAGGAAGACTGCAATGGGTACTTATTTGAAGAATTGTAGGGGAAAAGGGGGAGTAAAAAGCAATGTTTCATGAATTGATAAATATTTCACTATTATATTTGGAGAATTGGAGTTTCAATTTTAAGGTGCTACATAAAACTCTCTAAAAGAGTAGTGACAATGACAGCCAATTTGCCTTGGAATATCATAATGTTTAAGATACACACCAACTGCTCTCCGAACACCGGAATAGCGTGCTTACTATGCAGAAAGTTTCTTGAATAAGCACATAGCATGCTCACTATGCAGAAAGTTACTTGAATTTTAAATCAATTCCAAGTTCCACGTAATATCAGAGCTAGAAAGAAGGAGTTTGCAGATCAGTTGCAAGATGATGTTTACCAAGTGCAATTCACAACTATATCTCATCATGCTCCTTTACAGCGTAGGAGATCTTGAAAGGGAAGGAGGTGGACATAATGGTAAGGTTCAACCCGAATTACAACCGTGACAATGCTTTTACTCTCCTCAATCTCCATATTTGTTAATCAGCGTAAGGTTCAGATCTCATACATTGCTGTTGTTTGCAAAAGCCAACTCACATACAACAGCTAGGTGGTCACTTCCCCATTTCTACAAGAGAAAAAAGAATCATGAAGATTTTGATAATCTAAATCCAAAGTGGAACAAGATACACAAACACATTAACGACTAAGTTTTGAAGAACTAGTTTTAAGTAGATTACCTCACTAGGGAGTCCTCCAGATTTTTTAAGAATATCAATTGGCAAGGTTTCAAGAACTCTAAGTGGAATAAAATCCTCCGAATGCCTGATTAACAATGACATCGGTCAGAACTAACAAAAATCTGTAAATGCAATTAATTTTGGCATTTAGTGTGAAACAAACATAATTACCAGATATAATCAACAGTTCCCATGAACTTGGAGTGGTATGATGTTGCCAAGGGTTCCCCAATATCATCTCTTGTTCTATGGTTTCCCTGCAGCCATAACATTTATGAAGATAAAGTGGGAAATATCACAACTGTATGAATATCCAATGAAAATATTAAAAAAGTTTCGCATATCAATATTTCATGGTCAATCTTTATCTCACAATCACAAAGAAGTTCTCAAACTAGCTGATTGTAACAATTTTAGCTTAAAACAGCATACAGGAACACCGCTATAAGCACTGCGGAGTTTGAGTTGGTGCTGAAGATGAGTTATTCCTTTTGCCCCTGTTGCAAGTCTTAGTTCTTCCACACTCCATCTGTATAGCAATTGCCTTGAAAGAGACATCGAAATGCTGCACCAAATACCCAAATAATGAATACAGAATACCTAATATTTAAAGTTTGACATAAACAATGATGACAACCCTTCTCTCTAAAATTAGACAAATAATAACAATACATGAAACAGAGGCAAGAAACTTGTTGAATACATGAAACAGAGGCAAGAAACTTGTTGAATGAAAATCTTGGTTAAGAGGAGAGCTCTCAGCTCTGTCACTTATATAGAAATATCATACATAGGGAATCTTAATAATTAGGGAAAGAAGATTACAAAGTCAATAAGATGTTCTATAACCTAATTAGGCACAGCAAATAAAAGAGATAAATAATTACAACACAATTTACAGCATAAACAGGGATATAATCAACAACAACAATAAAGGCAATACTATTATCACATCATTCAGAGCAATAAAAGACCACATTATCCATATCAACAAATAATCTACAGTCTTGACAAATAATTTAATCATGAATCCGTTCCATAATTGATAGTTGTGTTGTTCTTTTTATTTATGAGGGGGCAGTGAGGGTAAGTTTTACCACAGTAACCAAAACTAAGACTTAGGAAAGACATTAAAACTACCTAGCGTCATCACCAATCTGTGAGAAGACTCTGTTGGTCTGGATTTCAAGCTGTCCTGACATATTTCGGCGATCATGTAATTGGATGTCTAGCTGCAATACATGAAGCAATACTAATAAACACTGAAAACTCTTCATGGCACCTTCCCCTCAAAGAACAAGTCCCACCCCTAACTGTATTTGGATTTTTTTCCATTCATTCAATAGAATGGGACAAGTAGGGATAAACTGAAAGGGAGGGGAAATAATGACACAAAATTAGCTTCCCTTTGTTCACAAGATTAACGGGGCAAAGGAACCTTTGGGTTCCTCTCATGCTAATCAATTTTCGAGGGAACAAAAGTTGAGTTTTTGAAAGGAACAAAGGGCAATTCGATCTTCATGAATTTATTTACCATCCTATCTATTTTCAAACTCCCAAACATTGGAATATGTTCCCCTTTCCCTCAGTCACTTTCTGTTGTCCTATTACCTGTAATCCACAGATAAATTATTTACTAAGGTTTGAGACACTGCATACAGTCAAATTTCTCAGATACTGCACCACAAATAAGCTAAAAGGCCATAGAATATTCCAAGACAAGGAGATGCCAAACTCACCTTTGATGAAGACAGAAACTTATATATGGCACTCTGACAGCATGAGATGAAACAAAACAAAAAACAATGAAATAAAAGCATATTAGATAACTAATCTGAAATAGATCAATCAACTACGAAGTATGAAGCAATATCATACCTGTGGAACACTATTTAAATCCCCAGCAATAATAACAGGGATGTTGCCCCATTCTTGTGACAACTTGTAAGCTTTATCAAGTAAAAGTCTGACCTATCCATTATGCCATGTAGCAAGTTTCCAGAATAAAAAAAAGATCAGACAACTTAATTAACTATAGACAGTTAAATGCATTTGTTCAGGGTAAAATGATTTGCACCAACCATGGCCCAAAAAATATAATATTAAAAATAAAATAAAATGAAACACATGCACAGACACAAATGCCTATACATGCAAAATAAGTATAATTCAACTCATTCAGTTAAGAGGTACCTGGCCCAATTTGATGTCACCACGATTTGGGTTGAATAACACATGTATGTTTCCTAAAACAAATTTTTTTTTTCCTGCGGATGATTCCCTATAGATGTAGATCGTGTTAGTTGCTGAGTGGAAAAAGTGAAACTCATTGGTCTTCAAAAAGACACTGTGTGTGTGTGAGAATATGTGAATAAATGAGTGTATACATTATTCTTTCCAAAAATTTGAATTTTAAACTTTGCTGATAAAAATAAGAGATACAATAAATGTTTTAAGAAAGTGATGGAAATAATGAAACTATTCACAGGTTGGTATGCAATAATTTTGGTAGAAGCACTCCCAAGTATAATGCAAAAATTATTTCAAAGACAGCAAATATTGTGTTCATATTACCCATTTTAGACATGTAAAACTTACATTGTTGTTAGGTTAGATGCATCATATTCTTTTTTATCACAGTTTGCCTGTAAATTGATAGTGAAATAAAGAGTAATAAGAAATATAAACATTTGGTTTCATTGCAACGAGAAAAGAATACTTTAATGAAAGACAACAGAATATAAGGGGGGGGGGTGTTAAAAATTTGAATCACAGATCATAAATCCTTCTAATGAAAGACAACAGAGCAAATATAAAACATAGGAGGAAAACAACGCAGAAAAATAAAAAACAAACCTAAATACCTCCAAAACACACAGCTGGGCAACATTGTTACGCATGCCAAATCTTTGGAACTCTATATCTTCTTGATGCAAAAGATTGAATCTGCATTCAAAAGAATACTTTAATTAGGCCAAATTAGAAATTTGATATTTTCTCAGTCGCTATGTTCTATAAGACATTTTTGAACTGTTGGTTTTCTTTTGCATCAAGGAATACAGTTGATTTACTTATTGTCAAAGGACAACAGTGTAAGATATTAAATAAATTGATTAATATAGGATACCAAAACTCAATTACTTAAATGATTTATGTGTAAGGGAAACCTACAATTTGTCTTTCCAAAATACAGCACATCCATCTTGAGCTTCCCCAGTGCGAGCCTGTGACAAATGAAAATAATGACCCAGATAGGTACTTGATTAAATATTAGAAGTTTTAAAACTAACATGATAGTTCAAATATGTATGTACTATACCTACTTTGTAAATACCTTTAAAGCCACTGTTCTGGAAAAGATCATCCAGATCATTAAAATGATCAACCTCCTTCAGACACAAGATTTATGAGAAAGAAATTCTTGACAATCCAATTACAATTTCAAGCAGAGAATAAATACTAAATTGGGTAAAACTAAGACGTTTGATTGTGCCATCTGGAATTAGCATCAGTCTAAATTGTGTCTCAAGAATTTCTATGTTGTCAAATGAATACATGTAATCAAGAGCTGTAGCTAAATAAAATGTCAGTTAAATCAGTTTCTTTAGCTCTTCTTTTCTACCTTTCAAAGCTTAATAGAGATACATAAATCCTAATGATAAAAAAATGGTGGTAAGTTTGTAACCAGTTGTACTGCTTTTCAATGTATAACACCAGGAAGGACTACCTGGAAACATAGTATGCTGGCATTATAGTTATGAATCTCTTTGAGTATGAGCCTTTTTCGCCTGTTCCACTCCAAGAACCTACGTGGAATATTAGAATACAAATCCAGATGATTTGATGCATTTTCAACACCAAGTATATTGTATGAAACAACGACAATCTTATCTGCAAGGGAAGGAACAATTCAGACTAGTAAGTATGAGATAAACACAATTTAATCTGAAGTCTAAATGAAACAATTAACAGTGGCATCGAAATATAAAGTATTAGCTATCTTCATGATCGACTGTTAGTTATTGAGGGGTGGGGTTTACCCATAAGCAAGCAAATCCCATCTGTACATTCACGCATCTATTTTTTCATAATTTATTTTGTTGCTCTCTCCTCTCCTTAGGTAGCTGAAATTTTCTGAGAAGACAATTCTCCATTTCTTATATTTGGTGACAATCTCCACCGGAAAAAAGGTAACACTAAAATGCTAAACTTTTCCTAAAAAGAAAGATAACCATAACATACGCAAAAACATACACATGCTCGCAAATGTGCCCACGTGTGTGATGAATTTGCATGACATTTGAATATTATTTTCATAGATGCAGATAGTTTCTTGTAATTCTGAGTTCTGACCCTTGCAATTAGACAAAATATTTTGATGGGAAAACCCATCTCCTGGACCACACTCCGCAATCCGAAAAGGGGGATCCCAGCTGAGGTGTTCTCTGCTTCGACAAATTGCAAATGCTTAAATTTACCGGTGGAGGCCTGCCATGCCACCGGCCTGGTAGTCGGTAGCAGCACATGAAACCAACTAGGTCTAGGATCATGTATTCACACAGGAAGACAGATATTGCTTCTTGGGGACACACAATAGAGTGTAATTGATATGTACCTATTCTACATCTCCTTTCCATATCATCATGAAGGTAGCATTCATAGGGAGAATCCACGCAGAAGTAACACACAAACAAGAACGCGTTTAGGCGTTTACCAATTGTCACACTCACAGAAACTAATTAATAAAATGCCTCTTCCTTCAACCTAAAAACCCTCCATCAAGTCAAATAATTCCTCGATTTTCAAAAGTAGTATTGAAATCCATCAATTGGAAGCTATCCTAGTCAATTCTATATGCCTTTTCTATATTCCAAAGGGATTTTCGATCAATTTGAATCCGCTCTCTGTTCTTATCTCCTCACATTCCCAAAATAGTATCAGAGAAACGGAAAACAAGTGGAACTGAATGCAGAATTTCAAAGTGAAACAGAATTCGAATTAATGATTATTCTGACCCGTGCAATTGGAAAAGTCTTTGGAAGAGAAAACCCATCTCCTACTCCGACCTTCAAACTGAGAACGTCTTCTTCGTTTTGACCGAGAATTTTCCGGTGAATGCATCCCACGCTTGTCCCGAGTCATGTTTACTCCAATTCAACTGTTCATGGCTTGTGTTTATTTTATACGTCATGATTTAAAATTTGTAGATATATGAAATTAATTTAAAATGTTTATGCATGTTATTTTATAAATTTAAGTATTTAATGAAGAAAATAGTGAAGATTGACTTTTTTTTTTTTTTTACTAAAATAATATTATTATATATATATATATATATATATATATATATATATAATATATATATATAAAACTTATGATAAATTGTTGTACTTAAAATTTAGTTTTTCGTAAATTAAATTTCAATTTTAAACTTACCATTTTTTTAAATAAAATATAATTAAAAATAATAAAATTAATATTAAAAATAAAATTTTAATTTTAAAATTTAAATAATATTTATATAAAAAATAATAAAAATAATATATTATTTAAATATATATTAAATTATTAAAATAATTATTAAAATATTAAATTATAATTTTTTATTATATTTTTTAATATATATTTTTTTATTTTTGAATAGGAAATTTAAATTTTTTTATTATATGAATTATTTAAGTTATAATTTTAGAAAAAAGTGATAAATTTAATATATAAAATATTAAAAGTAAAATTAAAAATAAGTTATTAGTAGCAAAATAAAAATTATAGAACATGATATTAAATAAAAATAATAAAGGTAGAAAGATTTGTATAGAGTGAAAATAATAGAGGTTTATGAAGAAGAAAACCCTCCACAAATTTCTCCTGAAATTCATGAACAACCACACATATGACGAAATTCAAAGCGTAATAGACGTCGTCACTCGTTGTGGAACTAGACACCACTTTTGAGATTAAAATTTTCTTAACATTATTTTCAATAATTTTATTCTTCAAATTTTTATTATAAATGATTATGTTATTTTTAATATTATACATTAAATTTTGTCAATTTTTATTATTTTTTATTTTTAAGTTTATTTTATATTAATAATAATAATTTTTAACTAATTAAATAATATTTTTACTTTATTATTTTAAAAAAAAGCATGAATTTTTTAATATAATATTTATAATTTATCAAATAAAAACTATTACATAAATTTTTATAATATAATATTTAATTTTTTAATATATTACCTAAATTAAATTTTTATTTATTCTATTTTTTTCTAAAATTATAACTTAAATAATTCATATAATTAAAAAATATATAAATTTTAAATTTCCTATTCAAAAAAAAATATAAAAAATATAATAAAAAATTATTATTTAATATATTTAATAATTATTTAAATATATTTAAATAATTTAATATATATTTAAATAATATATTATTTTTATTATTTTTTATATAAATATTATTTAAATTTTAAAATTAAAATTTTATTTTTAATATTAATTTTATTATTTTTAATTATATATTTTATTTTATTTTTTTATTTTAAAAAAATGGGAAGTTTAAAGTTGGAATTTGGTTTACTGAAAACCTAATTCCACGTACAACAATGATAAAAGAGGTTCGATTAAGTAAAAAATTTTATGAGAGGTTCAGTTAAGTAAATAATTTGATCGAGAGATTATGTTACGTATATATATAATATAATAATATTATTTTAATAAAAAAGTCGGTTTATAAAGAAGAAACCCTTCACAAATTTCTCCTGAAATTCATGAACAACCACACTGACGAAATCCAAAATGTAATAGACGTCATCATCGTTGTGGAACTAGACACCACTTTTGAGATTAAAATTTTCTTAACATTATTTTCAATAATTTTTTTTCAACTTTTTATTATCAACGATTATGTTATTTTTAATATTATATATTAAATTCTGTCAATTTTTATTATTTTTTATTTTTAAGTTTATTTTATATTAATAATAATAATTTTTAACTAATTAAATAATATTTTTACTTTATTATTTAAAAAAAATTAATTTTAGCATGAATTTTTTAATATAATATTTATAATTTATCAAATAAAAACTATTACATAAATTTTATAATAAGATATTTAATTTTTTTAATATATTACCTAAATTAAATTTTTATTTATTCTATTTTTTTCTAAAATTATAACTTAAATAATTCATATAATAAAAAAATATATAAATTTTAAATTTCCTATTCAAAAATATAAAAAAATATAAAAAAATATAATAAAAAATTATTATTTAATATATTTAATAATTATTTAAATATATTTAAATAATTTAATATATATATTTAAATAATATATTATTTTTATTATTTTTTATATAAATATTATTTAAATTTTAAAAATAAAATTTTATTTTTAATATTAATTTTATTAGTTTTAATTATATATTTTATTTAATAAAAAAGTGGTAAGTTTAAAGTTGGAATTCGGTTTACGGGAACCTAATTCCAAGTACAACAATAATAGTAAAAGAGGTTCAGTTAAGTAAATAATTTTATGAGAGGTTCAATTAAGTAAATAATTTGATCAGAAATTATGTTACGTGTATATATATAATATAATAATATTATTTTAATAAAAAATTCAGTGAAGATTAGTAGAAAAATAAAGCCATTTGATATTTTAGAATTAGTTATAATTATTTAATATTTCAAATTAATAATAATTAAAATGTAAAATATAAATTTAAGTTAGTTAAATATAAAAATGAAATGTTGAATAAAAGAAGATATGATAATGCTTAATAAAAAATAATATCAAATATACAAATAACGAAGGTTATATCCATAATTGTTTTTTAATATAATCAAGTTTAAATTAAAATGATGTGAAACAATTTTATAATTAATTTAAAAATAACTATATAATATATTAATACAAATACTTCTGCTGGTAGAAATATCTACCCACAAAGTCATTGTTGCATTTTAATAATATTTTTTAATATCCTATAACCAAAACCAATTATCTCCCCCATCATATAACCAATTAAGTTGAATATTTTAAAAAATAAATTTGAGTTTGATTATATATGGTTTCAGCTCTTACTTTCTCCGTAGTCTTCGTTCACCTTTATACCCCAAATTAAATATCTAAAATATTTTTTTTATAATATTTTTTATTTCATCTTCTTCATCTATCAATCTATAATTTCTGTATCTTTATTTTTTATATTCATTTTTTAATTATTTTTTTGTGTTATCACTCTCATTGAAAACCTTTTTAATAATTAAAAGTAAATAGTCGTTAATATTATATATAAATTACATATTTTTATACTCAAATTGTATAAATAAACCGAAATTGCTCAATTTTAATAATATCATAAAAATAAGGTTGAATTTCAAAATAACAAATATGAAAATGTATTATGAATTGAGTGTTCCAGAATGTATTTTTAGATTGATTTTTTAAAAAATGTATTTCATATTAGATGTTTCCAAATGTTTTTCAAAAAGGACTTTCAGAAAATGTATTTTAGATTGTGTGTTCTAAATTACGTTTCTAAAAAAATATTTTTGAAAATACATTTAGGATGTTCTGAACAACTTTTTTATAAAAATACATTGTAGATTGAATCTTTCAAAATATATTTTTAAAAAACCTTTTTTAAGAACTGTATTTCAATTTTTTTGAAATACATTACAAAGATAAAATGAAAAAAAAAATGTAAAGGTAAAATAGAATTTAATATAATAATGGAGTTGCAGCAATCAACAACCATTGACATCCAAATAATTCATTGGATGGATTACCTGATGAATTTTTTCCTTACAGAAGGAATTCCAGAAATCTTGCTTAAAGGCACGTTTGTTTTCAGAAAGTTTGCATAATAAATAATAACATTTTAAGGTTCTCAATGGAATTGTAAAAATGGGTTCTCATAACTTCTTTTTCCTAAATAATAACCGAATATATAAGACATCACTTATAGAAATCCGACTCGAAGTAGAACAACTGAAAAGACGGTATTAGGAGGTTCGGATATAGATAAAAAAAGTATTAGAATTAGAAGAAAAGGTGTTAGGATTAGGAGAAGAGGTTCACTGAAAACAATACATATATATATATATATATATATATATATATATATATATATATATATATAGCTGATTAAAACGTGAGAATTTTTGGGCATCTCATTTCCCTAATCTTGTTTAATGTTGTGCTATTTACTAATTATTCTCTTCAACTTAATATCCATTCTCTATTAAGATATTTTTTAACACGCCTAATTTCTTGGTTATTTATGGTAAAATATCTTCAAGGCTTTATCAGGGCATGCATATTCTGAGATCATGTTATAAATCTAGAGAGAAAAATATCTGATGGATCTGTTATTGGTATCTCATTACACACAACAGGTGTCATAAGTTAGCATGCTCTATGGTTCCATCAAACTTGAAGATTTTATAATATCATCATCAAATTTAAGATTCTCTCTACTTTGCCCCGAGTTACTGCATCGAAGTTAGCAAGCAAAGAATTTTGTTCCCTCTGTGCCTGTCCATGTCCCCTTTTTTTCTCTCTTCTATTCGCAAACTTACACCAAAGGATAGGATTGTCGTGGCACCTGTGATGGAGAATTTATTGAAAGGAAAGTTGAGAAGGGTGCTAAAGAAGAGACTCGTCACTGCTCATAACATTGCAAAACCAACACAAACACAAATAGCAACATCTTTGGCTGCATCTATGTTGTCATTATATGTGGTGCAATTTGTGGTGCAATTTGTGGTTCTCATTATTAATGTAGAGAAAATTTTATGGTGAACTTTTCTTTGGACTCATTCCTAGAATGTCAACATTTGAAGCTAATTTGTTACAATTTCACTATCTAATATTGCTCCTATGTTATCTCTTATGTTTTCACATCAAAATTGCCTCTCATGCATGGAAATTTGAGCTAACAAGATGTTAACCATTTCACTCTTCAATTCTTGTTGGGTTATATACATCAATCAAATAAATCATCCTCATTTGTACATAAGATCAATGTTTACAAAGGACACAAGTCAGAAAGTCATGTGATTGGCCAATAATGGTTAGGTTGGTGGATTTCATTGCTCAGAAATTTTGAGCCACCAGTGTAAAGATAAAAACTGTGAAACAAAGTGAAATCCCCACTTACTAAATTTAACCAAGTTTGGACACACTCAAGTAGAAAACACAAGTCATAGATTTCTTTGTGGTTCAAAATTCTCTGAAGCAAAACTCTTACCAAATTAGTCAACCTGAACCATATGTTATACAAACACAGGGCTGCATCCATTGGTGTAAAATGCACCGTGACGAAGGAGGTTGAGAGAAGTTGAAGACACCCATAGGGGAAGGGAGAACAACTTGAAGTGAGGACCACAAAAAGAAATTATTGAATTACATTGCAACACAACAAAAAAGGTCTTACTCCAACACACACCAACAACACTGACACTGGTAGACACTCACAAATAACCTGTTGGACCCACTAGAAATCCCTTAAAAGGAGAGGTAACCAATAAGAATTCAGAGAATAAGATGAACATCAAATCTCCAGCCAATGAGCATTGCTATGAGACCAAATCGTGGGTCCTAAGAACTTCCTCCAATGTCCTGTAGCAAATTACCAAACTTATATTACCAAACCATAGTTATATAGTTTAATAGTGTGGTTTGAAAGAGTTTCTCTGTAAGCTCCTCTAGTAAAAAAATTAAATTCTTCATAAACTATAGTTATTAAAATTAGTTTATGTATAAATTAAAATAAAATAATATAGAAAAATCATTTGTGAGAATTTCTATCAATTTACTTAAAAATGATGATAACTAAGTGTTATTAATTTATGAGGTTTTATGTAGAGATTAACACAATCAGAATCTATTTTATTCTTTTTACTTAAACTGAGGAAGGAACCAAGTGATAGTAAGAACAAACTATAAGACCCCACTGTGCTTCTTTCTCATCACATTCTCAAGTCTCAACATAACCAACCAATAATTGAATTTGAATCTTTTGGGTGCTCTCTAGATCCATACACTTACACCCCCTCAACATTGTTATTATGATCCCTTGTTGGTAACCAGTAACCGCTACATTGCACTTCTCTTTGCAACCAAAAACCAGTTCCAAAATATGACTAACCAAATGAAAGAAGCAAGTGCCTTAGGAGCTAGAACTGCACGAGCATGCGAGAGCTGTCTAAAAGTAAGAGCACGATGGTATTGTGCAGCTGATGATGCTTTCCTATGCCATGGCTGTGACAACATAATTCACTCAGCAAACCAATTAGCAAGCAGGCACGAAAGGGTTAAGCTTCAAACTGCATCCTCTAAGGTCAACTACTCAGTGACCCCTCATCATAATAATAAGGTAGCATGGCACAGTGGATTCACTCGCAAGGCAAGAACCCCACGCCCCAACAACAACAAGCACTCATCGGTGCTGCAGCAACAACAACAAAAGCAAATACATGAACAAGAAGTGTTTTTCAATAACACTATGAGTCTTCCCCTTGTGCCAGAGCTTGGAAGTGAAGAATCATTGCTTAATGATGAGAGTGAGGAGCAACTATTGTGTCGCGTACCCGTGTTTGATGCTGAGCTTTGTAGTATATACAATGAAGTGAAGGACGAGGTTTTAGCTGGTGAAGAAGCCTTTGACTTGGAAAATTTTTCTTCCGAGTTTCTACCATCAGATATGGACCTTGCTGAGTTTGCTGCCGACGTGGAAAGCTTACTTGGAAACGGGGCTGATAAGGATTCATCTGAGGGCGTGAAAGGATCAGAACTTGTGCTTGATTGCAAAGAAGATGATAAAATGGTTGCATGTGTTGATGGACTTGGAGCCGAAGAGGCAATGGTGAAGGTCAAAGATGAAGAAGAACTTGATGTCGACACACCTTGCCATTTGGATTCAATTATTCTTGACATGAACAGCGAGGCCTTTAATTGGAATGATATTGTCGAGTCAGACTCACTTGGTCAGGAACAAGAAGAGGAGTTGAGTAAAGTGGGAACCAATAAGAAGGACATATTTTTGAGGCTAAACTATGAAGATGTTATTACTGCTTGGGCCAGTCATGGTTCTCCATGGACAACAGGAACCCCACCTAAGTTTAACTCTGATGATTGCTGGCCAGATTTCTTGGTAACTTCTCTCAACCTTCTTTGCATGTGTAACAATGTTAACATAGTGTCTTTTTTGTTCAACTTATTTTATGATAATTTTCAGCTTTTGAGATGACTTAACAAAAGTTCTATATTGTCATAGTCGATCTCATATATCTGACTACATGAGAAGGATTATGTTATACCTTCAACAAAAAATGCAAATTTCGTCGATATACCTAAAATATAGGGGGTTTGTCTTACATATTTGGTAATCAATGTAAACTTTGTTGATATTCTTAACATGCAAATTTGTAGATAGCTGGCGAGACTTCAATTGGTAACTTCTTTCCTCAACCCTTGTTACTTACACAGTGATGTTAATTGTGTTTGGTTTAACTTATTCTATAGCTCTTCTACCTATAATACACTGTTCTTTATGACTAAAGGAAGAGAATTGTCTTATACTTTCTGTAATCAAGGCAAAATTAGTCTGATATACCTAATCATTTATAAAGGGTTTGTGTTATATTTTTGGCAACAAATGTAAAATTTGTCGATACATTTCACATGAAAAATTTGTAGGTAAACCAATGATTGTTGACCAGACTTCTTTGGTAACTTCTTCCTTCAACCTTCTTTTCTTATGCAACAATGTCAATTGTATTTGTCTGGTTAAATTTATTCTATGAGAATATTTTTTTCAGTTTGATGTGAAAGAACTTTAAAAAGTTCTCTCAATATATAATAATCAGTCAATGAAAAATTTGTCGATATACCTACATGTACTTCGATAACCATTGTGAAATTGGTAGATATATCTGTAAATATAGGTAAGGTAACTAATGATTTGTGGCTAGACTTCTGGGTAAGTTCTTCTCTCAGACTTTTTTTTTTCATGTGTAACAATGTCAATTATGTCTGTTAGTTTAACTCATTCTATGAGAATATTTTTTTCAATTTTCCAAGAGAACTTAAACAAAAGAAGAAATTCTACCTGTAATATAATAACTGATCTGATATTCAGTTATCAATATCAAATTTGTCGATATACCTAATACAAATATTTGAATGAGCTTTTAACATTCCTCTAAAGCTCAAACTTGATGATAATGACTATTTATGCAAGTTTTTTTTATAAGGGTTTAAATGGTGGGGATGTTCAATGCTGTCATGGGGAACTGAGAAGCTTAAGAGGGCATGCAGATGGGGCAAGAGAAGCAAGAGTGTCAAGATACCGAGAGAAAAGAAGAACCCGTTTATTTGCAAAGAAGATAAGGTATGAAGTGAGGAAGTTGAATGCAGAGAAAAGACCTAGAATGAAAGGTCGATTTGTGAAGAGAACATCCTTCCTTGGAGCCACTGCTTTGCCGGCTTAGTTACCATCATCAATCACCACTGACACCAAAATGATCAAATTAGTTGCTAACTTTCCCAAGTTTGATCATGTGAAAAAGTTAATTAGATTAATCATGTACGAGGAATGACATCACTAGGTGAGGTTTCTCTTGCTTGAGATGCTTTTGATTTCTCTAGCTGGCACAAATGGAAATGGTAGCTCCTCTCAGCATCTTCAATGCCTTGGTAATAAATTCCAGAAACCCTTTTAGTGTTGCTAGTATATAATGTTATTTGTATATTTTTGTTTATCTTAATTAACTCTTTGGGGTACTGATTAACAGTGTTTAACATATATCAGGTACTTAAATCTACAATCTGCTCCTCTTAGCAATATTCTCAGTAATGTGTTCATAAGAACAAGGAGGCAATAGGTGAAATAGACTACTACATGTGTTATTAGAGTACACTCATCACATGTTTGAACAAAGTCACTCATAAGAACATTGAATTTCTTTTCATGTTGAATCATAAAAAACTTATAAAATGACATTTGATAAACAACGTTCATTAAATTTTTCTTTAATTAAATAATAATAATAATAAATAATTTTATCAGTAAATCGAAATATTTTTTATAAAATTATTTTTACATTTTTAAAGACCAAATTAGTAATTTTTAAAGTGCACAAGTTAATTTAACTTATAGGAAAGAATAATTTGTTTTCTATTTTTAATTTGTAATTTGCATTTAAAAAATTTATCTAAATATGATGGTAATATATACCTAACTCAGTATTTTTACTACATTATTCATATCCTAATAATTCTATTAAAATTTTAATAAATTATACTTCTTCAAATGTAGGTATGAATGATTTGATAATTATCACTATTATAATTGCATTGAAATTCTACCAAGAATTTTGGTACGTTAAATTTGAGCAATTTAAATATATTGAGTACAACCATTAACTATTTTTGTCTCTCACAAAATTATTTATCTAACAAATTAAAAAAAAATAAAGAACTTTCTAATTTCCACTTTTTAGTCCCAAATGTTAATTACACATAATTTATATATTTTAAGAATGTTCCACATAACCCTAAATCATAAAAAGTCGATTTACACATCAAATATTCAAACTCAATTATCAAAGACCATGATAAAATAATTTGTTAATCCACAAACCCCCCACATGATGTGTATTATCAACTTGAAAATTTTTCTAATTGATATCTTCAGTGAAAGCACAAGATGACAACAAATCTTCTTCCCATGCAAAATTTGATTTTTTTTTCTTCTTTATTTCTCTCTGAATACAATGATGAGGTTAATGTTAAAGATAAACTTAGTCACTTTTTTTCCAGCGTCTTCATATTTTCTTTCTACATCTTCCTAATTAAATTAACTCTTTTTTTACCCTTACATCTATTTTCATATTTGTAAAGTATTTATTTCTATTTTTAAACTTTTGAATGTCTTAATTTTAAATCTACTAAAGCATTTTCATTTTTCCTTCTCCTATTATTCTAAGAATTGTAAGAAATAAGTAAGAATCTCCAAATATTTTTAATTTGTATCAATTTTTTTATCACGTATAATATTCACACAACAAGATTTTGGTAGAAAACATGTTTTGGAAATTGGGAATACAGTTCAGACAAATTTACCTAGAAACATGTTTCAAAAAGTGGGTTTTGAAATATATTTCTAGAATTATTTTTTTGCAAAATTTCAAGTGTATTCTAAATTATCAATCGAGAATGCATTTTTAGAAAATCAATCATGGAATGTATTATGAAACTCACTTTCGAAACATGTTTTTAGAACTTTTTTTCTTGAATTTTTTGAAAATATATTTCAGAATAGATATGTTTTGAAATACATGTTTCGGTGGAATTTTGATCGATTTCGATCCTAAGGATGTTTTGGTCCTAATCGAAATTCTACCATGTAAGTTCTTTTTTACGAGGCTAGCAATTTGTTTTTCAATCGAAAACGTGTATGAGAATCGAAAACTAGAAGTGTCAAGAAATCCTATTTTTTAGTATTTTATGTTTAAAATGCTCGATTTCAACAAAGCAGTAAAGTATTGAATCGAGAAGAGAGAATATTAAATTGCAAGAAAGCCCGAAAACCCCAAAGGGGCATTAACTTTAAATGACTAAGAATCGGAAACAGTGAAAACGTAAATGACCAGAAATTAAGTTTGCAAGAGAAATAAAGGACAAGAAATCGAAATGCGCGAGAAATGTAAATTGCTAAAACCCATTAAGATTGCACAAAGTTAAATAACAGGAAATCGAAATATGCGGAAATCGAAATGACATTGAATGAAATATACAAGAATATGAAATTGCTGAATTGGAATGGCCTGAAAATAAATTACCAAGGAAAATAAAGAAAGCGATAAATGTACTCAGTGAGCAAGGAAATCCAGATTGCCAGAAGCTTCATGGTGTTCGTCGTTTCTCCGGTAGACCTTTCACTACTGATCCTGTTCTCTGCCAATTTCTGCCCCCCTGTTTCTTCCTTCTTTCTTCTATTTATAGGGTGTAACTCAAGCCTTCCAGGAGCGGTTAACAAGAATGATACCACGTTTTACGTGCACATGACAGTTCCTTTTTACAATTTTCCCACGTTCTCACGATCCTCTTCCATGATTGAGAAACTGCTTCCTCTGCGTGCGTTTGACTAATTCCCTTCGAGGTTTAGTAAGGGTTTCGATATTTACGTAAATGAGCATTCCCTTTGATCTCGATTTTATCGAGCACTTTGCATACCTGACATCGATTTGTTTTAACCTTAACGTTATGCACTTCAAATTTCTTGGTTTGCTCTATGTTAAGTTTTGAACTATTCTTCCCACTCTTCAAATTCTGCCTTTCGATTATATGTATCATGCCTTTTATAATTTAGACATCGAAAAAGTTTCTTATATATTTGTTTCTCTAGCATACTTCTCGATTCCATACTAACAAATACATTTTCAAAAAAGTTAATCTAAAAATACATTAAGTATGAAATGTTTTGAACTCAATTTAATTTTCACAAAACTACTCGGATGAAATAATATAGGTTTAAATATATAATTTTAGTATAAAAACATATAATAAATACATAATATTAATAATTATTTGTCTTTAAATATTAGAAATAATATTAAATGAAGATGATAACACAAGAAATTAAATATGTCCAGATGCAGAATTTTCACAGGAAAACAAAAGAAATGATTACGATATGAAACAAAAGTATTTGAATTATTTTTACTTGAGATATGAAGATGTAGGGAAAAAATATGGAGGTACAGGAAGAAAATGCCTCAACTTAACAAAAGAGACTACCAAGAGTTTTGACTCTGCAGTGGAGAATGAAGTCTTCCTTAAATGGACTTGTGAAGTAATGCATAAAATGGAAATAAAACTTGCATGTACAAAGCCCAAAACTCTAAACTAGGGTTCTCAAAAAATGTTTCTTCTGATCAAAATTAAATGGTTTTTTATTCTCCTTTTTTTTTCTTTTTCAAAATAGTTTTCTTTTTTATTCAGTTTGATTTAGTTATCCACTCATAAATAATTAGGTTTTACCGAAGACTTGAATTGCTTTCAAACCAAACCGTCTTTACAATTGATTCAGTATCTTTTTCTTTATAAAATGGTTTGATTATTATTTTTATAAATATTAATTATTATTTTTTATTCTTATCATTTAATTAACTATTTGAATAATTATTTAGTATTTGATTATTATAACGATCTGTAAGTTTAAAACTGATTTTTTATTTCATTTTTTGTGTTTATTAATGAATATTAACATTTTCTTAAATAATTATATTAAATCACTTATTTTCATTGTCATAAAATTATTAAAATTACTTTTTAATTTTTATTATTTTGTTTAATATAAAATATTTTTCAAAAATAAAATTATCAAATAAATATTTTTTCTAATTTATTTTCAAAAATAATTTTTAAAATTGATCTCTAAAATTATTTTTAAAAGCCAAAAAAAAAAAAACACGTCCTTATGCATCATTTAACAATTTTATATAAAACTAACTTTTGTTTAGTACATTTTACCTATTTCATATATTAATAAAAAAAATATGACAAGAAATTAACATTTCACTTTTAATATGGTAATGGAGAAATTCTTTTAATTAGTTGATATTGCTGAATAATTTTAAACAATGAATTCATAAAATTTTAAAATACTAATATAATATTTGAAATAATTATTTAATATTCAATAGTCAATTAAGTTGAATGTATGTTATCCTTCCCTTAAATATATATTTTTTAAGCATCAATTTATTTAAATTGAAGTCATAGATTTATTTAATATTTATTCTAATAATTAATTATTTTTTTCATTTAGTGATTCTAAAATAGAATGGTTGGAACCAATAATAGAAAATTATTAAAAATAAAATACAAAGAAAAATATCACAAATAAAATTTGATAAACAATGATCTGACGAGAGTTAGTAATTTTTTAAGATCAAAGATATAAGAATGAATTCTAATAAAGAGATATTTTCAATTTAACAAAAGTGATATCTTGCCTCCAAATTCAACCATTATAAATGTACATTTAGAATTTTGTTAGAATTAAATTTTGTTTGTAATTGAATAAAAAAAAATTACAAGCAAAGCTAATTTGTCCACTAATAAATTAATCAAATATTAAATTAACAGTTCTAGATTTCAATTTCAATTTCATAATATATATATATATATATATATATATATATATTTTTTTATTTTTTATTTTTATAACGCCTAGTACATGTAGCCAGTTTAAGATACTCAGTTTCTTAAGTCTGAGTGGCCTCCCACGAAGGAACCACCTATAAGGTTCATTGGATCTTTCTAACTCAAGAGATTATTTAAACTTTAAAATCCTTACTAGTACTCATGTCTTTTCAAACTTAACATGTTGAAAGAAAAAAAAAGAAAGAATCATCACTAATATATTGGAATAATAAATATCTTTTGAAACTCATTTAATAATATCACTGACAGACTAGAAGAATGAATATTGTGACTTTTTAATAATAATGTGATTATAAAATAGTTTCTAATCGTAAGCATTTAATAATAATAAAATTATCCAAGATTACTCTTTTTATTTATTCATATAAATAATCTTTTGGTTCAATACAACAGTACCAACTTTGTCTCTATAATATTTAATGCATAAAATATTGAAAGAGAAAATGGGACGAACGACAGGAAAAGAGGACAAGAGTGATCTGACAGGGAATCCGAATCCGAGGTTATTGGAGGTGGACAAATACTAGAATTCAAAGATGAAGCTTCCTCGGAACTCAACCATAATGTCATGTCACAAGAAGCGTGGCTTTAGAATTGGATAGAATGAGTTTTCTTGTAGAATAGGAACTACCCTTTTGGACATTGCAGATTTCTTGTTTGAATGCATTGTGCAGTTCACTATTAAGCTTAACATATATGGAAAACCGAGAAATGGTCAAGCAAGTGCTTTTAACTGTTTCTTTGTCACTTTATGTTCAGAGATGGGAAAGAAAAGGAAAATGGCATGATACATATACTTTTCTCTTTATGTTCAATCATCTCGTGGGAATCCTGCAGCTACTTCTGAATTTGTTTTGTACAATGGCAATGGATTTTGGACTCATGTAGGTTCTACACCATTCAATTTCTGGACTATTAGTATTCACGCACATATACAATTTAATTGAATATTTATACTCACATATTAAGATAAATGTAGGAGGGTACAAAAACAACCTTTTACTAGGAGTAGTATTTAAGGAGCAAGAATGAGGGGACCATTTTGATTATAGGTTTGAAATGAGAAATGATAAGGAATGAGGAGGTGAAGTACATGAATATACATACAAGGGGAGGACCAATTAAGAGGCAAAGAGGAGCTCCTTTCAATCCAATAAGAAGGGCTGAGGAGAGGCAAGAGCTGTCATCTCATGCATTCGGCTACCCTTAATGTTTGTTTGTGATCACAAGAACTTGCATGACACCATTTTGAAATGTTAAGTTTGGCCATGTGCATGGCGTGAGAGCAACTCCCCCCACCTGCTTAGTCCTACCATTGGATTGAAGGGAGCTCCAAGTTTCACCTCTTTTTATTGTGTTGTTCTGTTTTGCAGATCACCATGTTTTCTTTCATCAAGGATTTATTATCATCTTTGTTACAACCTTCTCTTTCTACTGTTTCACTCTCTGTATCAGGTTTGTTCTATCTCATTCTTGTGATCAACTCCTACTTTCTTGTTGCTGATAAGCTAACTGATTCTGCACACTACGCAGCATCTTCTATTTACTTTGTTACAGAGTCTTTCAGCTCAATGACTTGAAGTCTAGCACCACATAATGGTGAAAGATGGTATTGCGGTTTTGACTGCCTCCAATGAGTCCTCTTCTTTAGAGGATTTAAGTTCTTTACTTATATGATTGACATAACAGTAGTAGTGTCTTTGGCTTTGAGTGTTTTGTCAAAAAATAGTCATTTATGAATTAAATCGTTGTCATTTATTCTTAATAAAAAGCCTACTAACACCATGTACAAAATAAGCTAATCCATAATATACACTTAATCCCTTTTTCTTTTTGCATGAAATGATACATTTCCAGGTACAATCCATCATGATATGAAGTTTCAAGCAGTCTTACTAGGAATGGACTACATGTACAATCTTATCATTAATGAAGCACTCATGATGATAGGAACGCAATAAACTTATTTTAGAATGTGATTCTGATGTATTTTGACCATCGCCTACCCGTACTTGTTTATATTTAAATGGTAACAGGCATCACACAGCAAGTTTGAGTATATACATAAAAAGGGAACATTCCTGTATCTGATATAATAATATTGCAAATAACTTTGACCTAAGAACTCACCCAAAGATGTTGGATTTATCAGATTAACTAAACAAATGTCCTGACCAAATACATCAAATAACTCCAACGATTAGTTCTTATCCATTTAACAACAATCGAAAAAGAATAATCACTAACTACTTAGTTGAACAAAAGGTAGGAGGTTAGAGGATTAACCAATTAATAAGTAACTAATATAAATCATTTTAAGAACTAAGTGCACCATAACTTCCTTTAATTTGTTTATAGGATCAATTCTCCTATCACTGTCACACTAGTCACTTGCATAAGTGTTAAAACCAGAAATGAGTGGATTTTAACGGTGTCAACAATCTAACTTAAGTTTAGCCCTTTATATTATTTGGTGAAAAGTGAAACGGTAGTATTGTAATTCATACAAGTTTTTAAGTGTTTTATCCTACTTAATGCTATATCAAATAGCATCTTTGGTTTCGATTATTTTGTTTTAAGAAAAGTCACTTTATCAATTGAAATATCTGTCAAAAATGCTTCTACTCTTTTCAAATACAAAACAGTTAATGTAAGCTTGTATGCTCTATCCTATTTCTTTATTGCATAAAATCGAAAATGAACCATTTTCAGGTGCTGTATTGTTTCATTTTATTATCCTCGTTATGCTTATTCCTCTTACCATAAACTTTTAAGGGAAATCCAACTAAATATCAAGTCAAACTCGTTATACATGACAGAACAGATGAAAAGCAGGTGTAAATTCCCTCTCACTGGCCGTTATATATCATCATCTCTGCAGTTGTTTTTCACTACACGGGTTCCACTTAGTTTTTGTTCATTTTCACAGTGCCCAACTTCAACTCCAAGACCACCACTATTTATCGCTCAACCAACATGTCTCCCCAAGACATTTTTCTCCGTTAATTCACGTGCAACAATAACACCATCAACAACTTAATTGCTGCAAGAGAATTTTTTTTCACCCTTTCAACAAGTGCCCAGGTGAAGAATAGTCTTGTCACCCTCACAAATCCAACACAACAAAGAAATTTCGGGCCTTACAGATCGGTGTATGTCATTTGAGTTTCAAAGCATCTCACTTTGAATTACGAGGAATAGATTACATGTACGATTTTATTACTAACGAAGCACTCATCATAACAAGGAACAAAATAAATTTGTTTCATAATCTGATTCTGATGTATTTGGACCATAGCCTTGCCACGCTAGTTTACATTTAAATGGTAACAAGCAGCAGAAGCCTAATAAGCCAAGCAAAAATCGCCTGAGGCCAAGTAAAAATACAGTTGTAGTTCGCAGAAAGTTTGAGTAAAGATAAAGAACATGAACAAAATAACTGCAACATAGGCACTCCTCCACCCATAATCTAATATGGCAATATAATGAGTTGGATAGTCAATCTTTCCCTGCAAGAGCAATAAAACTTACTTTCATTGACAGACAAAATGATTGTATCAATGAAAAAAATAACTTAAAATAAAGAAATATTACAACAAAAATAATGTAGATGACATTTCAAATTAAGAATCCAATTTAACCAAGAACTAACCCAACTTTATTGTATGTATTTATGAAATTAACCAAACAAATGTTCCCGACCAAATACATCAAATAACTCCAATGATTAATTCTTACATATTTAATAACCATGCAAATGGGCCATCAATCATCACTTAGTGGAACAAAAATTGGGAGAATAGAGGGGAGGGGTAACCAGTTATAGGATCTCTAGCAAATAAATTTTTTAACAATTTCAAAATTTCAATTTTAGCACTCATCACTTTCTTTAATTTAAAAGAGTAATTCTCTTTCACCAGTCATCTACATCAGTGTCATTATACCTAGAAATGAAAGGGATCTTTATCAAGAAGTTTATGGTGACAACATCAATGTTGACAGCAATTCTCCAAAAGCTGGCCAATGTAACTTCACTTAGGGCCTTGTATCTGCCGCATAGTCAAAATAGTCAATACTACTGATTTAATACCCCCAGCAAAGTTCAGGATGCTCAACGATAACTTTTCGGATATCCAAACTTTTGACAAGGAGCCCAAATTCTCTAGATACATAAATCAAGAGGATTCAGCAGCAAAATAAATAGATCCCTAATCAGCATAGACTTATTTTACTTGCAAGACCATTTTTTTCCAGTGGTACTCACTTAAGAACTAACTCCACCTATGATCTCATAGTAGTTCCAAATCCATGGTTGCTTTAGGCCATCAAGACCAATATAAAACCAGTCGAAGGTCTGAACATAAATCACTCAAGCGGTCTCACTTTACATGAATTAGAATTGAAAAGAAAATAAGAAACAAAAATGAATCAAGTTCCTTGGTAAACTAAATTATCCAATGGATAGGTTAACAATCAATTTGTGCATAAGCTAATTTAAGTTTCTTAACCTAACGTGCTTCCAGAAAAGTTTATTTAAGCATACACTTTCTCAATCCTAGGTAAAGAGGAAGGTTGCGTTGTTTTAGAACATCTCCATTCAACTAAAACTTGTCAAAACCCCAAACATGAATAATTCATATGAGGACTGATTCATTTAACAAGTATAATTGATATAAAACAAGAGAAAATGACAGAAATGATGTTTGGAATTACCTTTTATTTATCCACAAGACAAGTCATTCAGACTCAACTGGCTCGACCTTCGGACCTGTTTCAAAAAATTAAACAAGGAATTAGAAATCGTCAAAAAATCTTCACAATGAACCACGATAACAAATATCGCCGATGAAAATCACCAAGTTGATCACACATCTACATTCTCCGATAATTCCCAGAATCAAAACCCTAGAACATTCAATTTGACAGAAAAATGTGGTTTCAGAAATTGAGTGACTGACCGTGGAGAGAGGGATGGCGACCGTCCTTGCCCCAACCAATGCCGCGAGTGGATTCGAGGTACTGGTTGACGAGATGGCGGCACTTCTGAAGGTGGTTGACGCCTTCGATGCGGTAGCACCAGCGGAGCTTCTCTCTGATGATCTTGGCCTTCTCTATTTGGATCCACTTCTCTCTCACGATGTGCTCCCTCATCTCCAGCATCGCCACCGGGTCCTTGTACGGATTCGCCGGATCGAAGTCGTCCGGCGGCGATTCCTCGAACTCAACATACCCCTTCTTCCTTCCCATTCTCACCACCGAGTTTTCTCCTCTCTCAACTCAACACAACTCAGCTCGACTCGGATGCTTCCGAATTCTGATCGTATATCTGCACTTCTCTTCGGGTTGGGCTTATGGCTGTGGAAAGCCCGTTATCATTGGCCCAATATACAATTTTGCTAACTTTAGGGCTGAAGACCAAGCTTGCTTTCTATATTGTTGGAATTGTTATTTATAGTTCTAGTATTTATTAACATGATATTTTAAAGTAATATATAATCCTTTTTTATAATTTGAACACATTCTGAAAAATTATGTTTCAAAAATTTTACAAATTTAATGTATTCCGAAAAAAAATATTTTTTAAAAGTCTTTACATTAATTTGTTATGCATTCATAAGCTCAATTTCTCATTTTTTTAAATTAGAAAAATTTAGAATAAAGCACAAGAATATGAGTATTGTAAATGCACCAACTTTAATCACAAATAAATTAAAGAAATAATATTTGCAAACGAAGATTACTTTATAGTTTAAATAAATTAATAACAAATTAAAATATACATAGTTTACTTTCATATAGTCTCAAATTATACTTATTCTATTATTGTAAATAAAAAAAAAAAAATTAACAATCCATGCCCCCATACAAAAGGAAATTAGTCACTATATACGAGGTGTTGTTATTATGTTATCGATCTGTTCATTCTTATCTCAATTTCAATCCATTTTATGGGGAACAACAATTACTTAATTTAATTTCCTTTTCATCGATTTAATGTTGGTTGAATAGGAAAAGCTTTATTAATTGTTAGTGTTGACTATCCTCAATGTCAAGTGGTCATAAATTTATATATTTTTTTAAATTATATATATAAAATCTCCTATAAACAATCTTCACAATATACATGTGAAAAGTCTACAATAAACAAAAGGGGTGAGGATAAAAAAAAAACGTATTTCACCACCTATCTAAAAAACAAACACTTTCTTTCGCATGCATCAAAAACAAAATCTAACGTCACCAACACTATTAAACTAATTGTGTTTGTTGGTGTGAAAAGAACAGAATTAGCCAGAGAGATCGAGACCTACACGTGGCATCATCGTGTTCATTGATCTTTTCACTGGACCCCACCCCAAAGTTAATTGAAGCTCCATTTTTCCTTCATTAACTCGAGCCGGGTCGATACTCTCGCTGCAGCTGCTGTCGGCTTCTCCGCCAACGATTTTGTTCTCACTCGCCCGAGTCAACCCAGATCCCGAGTCATGACTCACCGATCGCTGTTCGCCTAACAAGCTTTCACCCAACTCAGCGACGGTAGAGTCGGGTTTTAGCTTCGCGGCGCGGCGCTTGAACTTGCTGGTGCGTGACTTCACTCTGTGGAGCGCCTCAGAGCCGCACGATTTATGACTCTTTGCCACGTGTCGAATATCGCAAGCCTCGAGCTGCAGACTCGCAACGCCGTCCAGAGGGGCTTGCTGAATCGGCGCACCGCTCAGAACGGCTTTGGCCGCGGCTTCACAGAGGTGCCAATTCCCGGTTGAGAGTAACCCGGTCGAGCCGAAAACCGGGTTCACCATCCGACCGCAAGCTTCGTAAAGCAAAGATTTAAATACAGCTGAAAAATAACAAAATAAAAAAAGGTTCTAATATTAGTAAGAGAACGGCACAACATAAATTAAAGATTACTCTTAGCCAATATTATATTATTAATAATTCATTTAAACCGAAAAATAAGTATAAACCACGTAATAATTTTTATGAAATTTAAAATGGTAATTTATATGAAAAAAATGAGACAGAAAAAACACTTAGATATTAATTCATTTAAAAACTTAATTTACAGATTTTAATTTTTTTTGGGAACCTTTTAATAAAATTTGACTATTTTATATTTTCTTAGTCATTAATATAATATAAAAATAAAACATTCAAAAAAATATGTTGCACTTAAACCTCTTTTCCAAAAACCTTTTATATAAGGTTATTAATTAAAATATTACAATATTTCAAAATTAAACTGAAGTAAACTATGAATTTTATATATTATTTGATAAAAAAAGAAAGAGATAAGGCAAAATGTATTACAAATTTATGGATAGATAGAAAAGAAAGGTTAAAAGTATTATTTTGCTAATTCCACACAAATTTGGATTAAATGTTAGAAAGAGAGTTGTGTATGAAAGATAATGAAAGAAAAAACGATAGATTGATAGAATTAAATTTTTGTTGTGGAGAAAGATTGAAATGCATGTACCTGGTTGGAGTTGAGAGGGGGCGTTGGTGAGGAGGGTGAGGAGGCCTTGACGGCCATAGAATTTGGCGAGAAAGAGGGTGGCGTTGGACTGAGAGTGGGGGCAATCGATCCATTGAAGGGAGGTTCGAATGGGGCACTCCACGGTGCAGCCGCGGCGGAGGACGCGGCAACCATTGCAGCTGAACCGCATATGCTCAAACAACACAAGCAGCGACGTGTTTGACGAAAGAAAAAAGAGAAATTATCGGGAGAAGAAGGATGAAGAAACGTGGTTTTATAGTGAGGAGAGAGAGAGAGAGAGAGAGAGGGTTTTGAACAGAGAGCGCAGTTGTTTTGGTTTTCCAAGAAAATGGCAGTTTTGATTTGGGAAAGGGTGGGGAGTGTGGTTTTGTTTGGTAGAAGAATGGAGAAATGGAAATGGAGGGTCCCAAGTTGCCTCAACAAACAAGGAATTCATCAATCAATCAATCAATACTGACCAAATTTCCACAACTTAGTTTCCTGGTTTTGTGGGAGAATCCTTACACTGCTTTTGGAAATTTGGATAATACTATACTACTACTGGTAAATACCAAGGTAATTTCTCAATTTCTAAGACAGAAATTATTGTAGAGATAAAAGATGTAATAGAAAATTAATATACATTTTTTAAGAAAATAAATAAAAACTGTTGTTTTAAAAATTTGTTAGAAAGTTTTAGGAGAGTAAAAGTGGTTTTGAGTTGGAAGGGAGAGCCAATGGTTTTGAGTATGAATGGGCCCACTCCTATAAACGCGGAGACTGCATTGGATTTGGAAGAAACAAGACCTCACTCACTCACACAACACAACACAACACCTTTTCCTTCTTTCCGTGTCTCCCTCACCTACCTTCTTTTCACACACATTTCCATCTATATCCATACAATTACTAGTGCTCTCATAATCTTTTTTCTTTTCTTCCTTTCCATAAAAATATTCTTTCAAAACTATATTCATATTTTTTTCTCCAAAAACTATCTTGATTTCGATTCGAATCGATATTCATTCTAATGGTTAATTTTTTATATTCGAGCTATTTTTTATTTTAAAGTTATTGTTTATTCTGATTTTATTTTTAATGTTTTGTTTGTTTTTATTCATTTATTTTTCAAGTTGATTTGTGAGAAGAGATTTGAGTCTATAAATCTTTGATTGAATTATTGTATTTATTTGGATTTGCAATAATTTAATAATTTATATGTAGATCTCACATAGTAGAAAATCCTTATATTTGAGGGAATAAATGCTTAGATTTTTTAAGAAAGTGAGGTAAATTCTCAAAAAAAATAAAAAATTCTATATGCATAAAATAGCCTGCGTCATGTGAGTGGAAATTCAGTGATTTTTTTTCGCATGAATAAAATGTCAATTATCACGTTTAATATACTGTGTCTTAACATGTGAATAAGGATATTTTTGTCATTATACTAAAAAAAAATTATTATTAAATTTTTTATATTTATTTATTTTAATCATGTCATCTCCAATAAATCAATCATTTGAAATCTATTATCTTTTTCTCAATTTAAACAACATAACAACCTACTTTAAATCATTTCAAATTCACTATCTCATATTCCTATATCAAGAACACAACGTAAAAGATGTTTAGATGAATTGAGATACGAGGGTTTAACTCCTAAATAATATAAAACTTATGAGTAGACTGAAACATTTTTTTTTTTCATAACACTTTTACTTAACAACATATTCATAGTTTGTTGAGAAATCATATTTCAACTATAAATATTATAATATAAAAATAAATACAATCTCCACCTTATCAATATTGTGACATTAACCATTAATAATTGTTGACTAAATCACATGTAATTAAACTAGTTTTAGATTATTCATCATCAATACGAGAGAGAGTGTGATGAAAAAAATCTCTCTCGATAAGAGAGATGTTAAAATTTTTCATATTAATTATAGATATGATAATATTATAATATACATATGAGTATAATCTTCACTTTTAAGCTAATTTTGTAAAATTGAAATAGATATCTCACAATTTCTAAATCAATAACATTAATCATACTTTCTAATTTGATGATAAATAAATTTGTATTTCACTTGTACTTAAATGATTTTTTTAAGTGCTTATCCATATAAACCAAACTCAAATACTAATATCTATAAATGATGAGAAACTTGAAAGTAAAGATTGTGTTGGTTATTAGTTATATGGTTAAGTATATCTTCCTTTATATTTATTTTTATATATAATTTAATCATATGAAATTTTTAATGAAATTGATGACTCATGTTAAAAATTGTTTTATTATAATTTTAGAGATTAAATTAATTTATAGTATCAATGAGATATTTTAATATTTTATTAATTGAGAAATTAATTTAACTTAATAAATTGGTTATTCATAGTTAGATTAAAATTAACCTCCATTACCTTACCACCATTAAATAAGGTAAAAATATAAATATTTTAGGGATTCACAATATCGTAAAAGGTTTTTCAAATATAATATTTACATGCAAATTTGGGCTCAGATGGTACACACGGCCCACGAACGAAAAAAAAATACGATTTTTAAAAAATGGGCAAATAATTTTAGGCCAGGTTGGGAATTTTGGAATTTGGAAAGCTGTATCTGGCACTAGTTGACATATACTTCACCATAATTTCTAATGCTGAGAGAATCAAATTATAATTAATATTATCAATTTATTGTAATAAATATAAATTACATAATTTATGGGAAACAAAATATTTTCTGCTCATGTTAATTAATGCATTCATACATATTATTTTATTATCAAAGTAAGTACCTCTATTTCTTTTTATCTATTTTATGACTAATTAAGAACTACTAAAATTTGTCATGATCAGTTATAAAAATTAGAATAAATAGAGATTTTTTTAAAAACTATCACGCATTAATACAATACGACAATGTGATTATTCTAAATAAATATTGTATGTTTATGAAGAATGTGTAGATATGTATCAAAACTCATAAAACATAGTAAACACACATTAATTAAGAAAATATTTATTAGATATCATTTGAACCAAAAAAATTATAAATAATATTATAATAATGTTCTTTGTATAAATGATGAGATGTCTAATTCATTCTTATAAAAGATATTTTGTAAGATCACAATTATATTTATATATATATATATACTATAATATTATTGTATATTTAGTCAGTATTAGATTTCTTAATTGTTCTTGTGTTATACACTTAAAAAAAAATCCATGTTATTGATTGAATCATAATCATTCTTACCAAATAGCAACAAGTTTTCTGATCTAAATTTTTCTTTGTTGGTGAAGATCAAAAGAAACATTTGGAGAGCGAGTATATGAAAAAAGAAATTAGTCGATTGAATAATTATTTTTACAACAATAATTTATGTACACCTATTTTTTTAAACATCTTTCATAAGTCTCTAATTTTTACTTCTATCTTTTTCATCTTATCATATCATAACCATTACAAATATATTTTCTTCTCTCTCAAAGTATTATTCGGGTGTTTTCATTTTACTAGAATTTGTGGGGGATATTATTAAATTATTTTAACAAGTTTGAATTATGTTGTTATGGTAGGAGAAGGTAGAAATGAAAGAGAAATAGAGGAATGTGTCAAAAAAGTGAACAAGGTAGGAATATACATAATTATTTTGTTTGTGGGTATTTTGTTTTATTTTAATATTAAATTTTAAAAATAGATCAATCTAAACTGTAAAAGAAGAAAAATATATAAATAACTTTATTATATATCCAAAGTGACACTTTAAAGGATCTAAATCCTTTTTTAACGAGATATTCGTGCAATGATGTTCTTCCACTAGAATGATTGTGACGCAAAGAGTGTTACTCTCCTATTTTCATGGAGCCCCCTTTCTTTCTCTCTCACAAATCCAAACCAAATTTTCTTCTACTAATTAAATTATTAGTTTAAACACAACTAACTATATTTACGTTAAAAAAAAAAATCTGATGTTTATCTAGTTTTCCTCAATTCTCGTTGCAACAAGAGCATTTTGATCAATGTTACCATTTTCAAGGTTGGATTCTCTACTTTTTGATGCTTTACACATTGTTCATATTACCTCTTTGGTAGTTTCGATTTTCAGATGAAACTTGATTATATTCAAAATGTGTTGGCTATAATTTTTGCAAATTGTTAATGGATTGATGTAGCATTATTGGTTATTTGTTTTAGAATTTCACACCCATGTTTAGATTTTAACTGGTTAATCTTTTTTTATTTGCCTTTTGCTACTCTCTCCTTTTGCATATGATGAATGTTTTTTGTTAGTGAATAGAATTGAAAGTATAATGGTTGAAAAAGTTGTGCATGCATAATTTAAATTTTAGTGTCAATACTACTTATTATTACTTTAGTTGAGATAATTTTGATATTAATTTTAGGTTTGAAAGTCTATTGGGTGATATGATACAATGGACATTATATTATGAAACATCTATGCATTAATGCATGAAGTTCTATATATCCTACAAAAAATCACCCAGTGATGAATCCACCATCAAATAATTACACTATAGAACCCAGAGACCTGGGTAATTCAAATTCAAATTTCAATCGAGTTAACTCACCCCAAAGGAAGGTATTGTCAGAAGCAAAGATTCAACGTGTTTTACACAGTCCACTTATGACAGGTATGAATAAATTTAACTTAATCTTTACCTTGTTCTAGAAATATGTTTTGATGCTTATGAACATGATGATGAGATAAAGATGAAATAACAAATTCTTAATCATTATTCGTATATTGAGCCAAAATGAATTGTGTATTGCATGTAAAATTCATTCACTTTGTTTTTGTTATTATATTGACATACTTATAATAACTGGGAAATTTATTGAAAATGACACTAATCAAGAACCATGTGAATGATTTAGCTTTGTGAGACTTATTTCATATTTATGTGGAGCCATTAACTACATTAATAGACCATGTAGGTCATAAGTTTCCTGAGGTTTTTGGACTAAAACAAGGAAGCTATGCAGATCTTCCTTCAACAAAAATTTCAGAATTGATGAAATCAACTAGTTTGGATGTAAGCTCTCATATATTCTCTCTTCATCCCCTATGGATTTGCAGAATTCTCATTTATTTCTACATCACTGATATATTTTAGCATCTATTGCTGCAGAATGCTCCTACTCAGTCCCTTTTGAGTGTAGTCAATGGTATTTTAGAAGAAAGTGTTGAAAGAAGAAATGGTGAAATACCCCATGTATGGATTTAAAGGATTCGGATTTACATAAATAATAAATGCATTCATAAACACTTTTCAGAGATGAAAATAAGAAGGAAAATTGCATTGAACTTGTCCATAAGTTATATAATAAACATATCTACGTTAGTCTTTAAGGACTAGTTAACTGAGAAGAACAATTTTAAAAGATTACTGCATAATTGTATTTTCTGACAATTTTGTTTACATCTCAGCGTGTGGCTTGCCTATTGAGAAAGGTTGTCCAAGAGATTGAAAGACGCATATCAACTCAAGCAGATCATTTAAAAACTGTATGTTAAAGTTGTATTATTTTTGACAACTAATTAGTGTTTGATTTTCTCGATTTATTTTAACCCTTTTTTTTCTTTCCTGTTTTTTACCCTTAGCAAAACAATCTTTTTAAGGCTCGTGAAGAAAAATATCACTCAAGAATCAGAGTCCTTGAGGCTCTAGCATCTGGAACTGAGGATGAAAATAAGGTATCTTTGGATATCATTTTGTAAGTGAATTAACATAACTTCAACATTTAAAGGTAATGTTTTTTTTGTTTTTACTTGGAAGTAACATATTTATTCAGTTTTAGGGATGGAATACGATAAAACCCTATTAATTTTTTGTGTGTTTAGGTGATAAAGAAGAAACATTGAATAATTTTTTCTTTTATTTCTAATATATCTTCTTTTGGCCTTTTAATGTAGACTGGGAGGATTGGAAAAGAAGAAAAGAAGGTAGATGAATTAAAACAAACTCGGATGACTAAAATGGAAGAAGAAAAGGAAAATGGCATGACGCTAATTGAGAACACTAAAAGGGCAGAAAAGAGGGATTGTGACAAAGAGGTTATTAGATATATTAAAGAGTTGAAAGATAAAACTATGGAAATTTCAATATTGAAGCAAAAGCTAGAAACAATGAAGAAATCATATGAAGTACAATGTTCAGAGTTTGATTTAAAAGCTAAGGAGGAAAATGCAGCAAATGACAAAGAGGTTATTAAATGTATTAACGAGTTAGACGACAAAACTATGGAAATTTCAACATTAAAGAAGAAATTAGAAACAATGGAAAAAAAGTGTGAAGTACAATGCATACAATTGGAAGCAAAGGCTAAAGAGGAAAAGAGGACAAATGAAAAAGATGTAATTAAAGAGCTGGAAGACAAAAATTTGGAAATTTCAACATTGAAGCAAAAACTAGAAATGGTGACAAAAATGTATGAAGCACAATGTTCAGAACTGAAAGCAAAAGTTGAAGAGGAAAAGATGATTGATGGAAAAAAGGCTAATGGAAATATTAAAGAATTGGAGGACAAAAATATGGAAATTTCAACATTGAAACAGAACCTAGAGACGATGGAAAAAACATATGAAATACAATTTTCACAGTTGAAGGCAAGAGTTGAGGAGGAAAAGAGCACAGATAATAAAGAGGTTAGTAAATATGTTAAAGAGTTAGAGGAGAAAAATCTGGAAATTTCAACATTAAAGCAAAATCTAGAGACAATGAAGAAAACATATGAAGTACAATGCTCGTTGTTGAAAGCAAAAGCTGAAGAGGAAAATATGGCAAATGGAAAAGAGACTACTAGGTATATTAAAGAGTTAGAGGAAAAAAATATGGAAATTTCAGCTTTTAAGCAAGAAGTTGAAACAATGAAAAAAACGTATGAAATTCAATGTTCAAAGTTGAAAGCAAAAGCTGAAGAGGAAAAGATGGCAGGTGGGAAAGAGACTTTTAGATATATTCAAGAGTTGGAGGACAAGAATATGGAAATTTCAGCAATTAAGCAAGAACTAGAAACTATGAAAAAAACATATGAAGCACAATGTTCACAATTGAAAGCTAAATCTGAAGAACAAAAAATGGCTGATGAGAAAGAAATTATAAAATATACTAAAGCGTTAGATGAGAAAAATATGGAAATTTCAGCAATCAAGCAAGAACTGGAAACAATGAAAAAGACATATGAAGTACAGTATTCACAATTGAAAACAAAAGCTGCAGAAGAAAAAATGGCGGATGAGAAAGAAATTACTAAATGTATTAAAGAGCTAGAGCAAAAAAATATGGAAATTTCATCATTTAAGCAAAAATTGGAAGCAATGAAAAAAACAAACGAAGAACAATGCTCACAGTTGGAAGCAAAAATTGAGGATGCTAAAGGAGAACTAAAACAAAAATCACAAGAATATGAAAGTTTGTTGGAAAAACTAAGAAATAAGGTTAAAGAAAATGAAACTCTTTACGAGTCAAAATATCAGAAGTGGATCACGAAAGAGAACCAAATACGAACAGATGTGAATTTTCAGTTCAGTTCCATACAGGTAAACTTACATACAATTGATTGTCTATCTAGTGATGTCAAATATTACAATTTTCTATCAAACTTGCAATGCAGAAACTGAAATTGTCATGGGAATCCATTAAGCAAGATGCTTTGAAAGAGCAGATGATTTTTTCTGAGGAATGTAACCGATTAGGTATGTTCTATAATATGTCATTGTTATGTTTACCCACCACACTTATTTTCTTTTTTGCCAAAAGGGATAAGCTTAATAATTGTATTATAATTTGTCTAGGTGTAAATCTTAAACCACTAGTAGATGCAGCTGAGAACTATCAAATAGTTCTTGCAGAAAATCGAAAACTATTCAATGAAGTTCAAGAATTAAAAGGTAACACAACACTATATGAATTTTCAATTGGTAATTGATGTACATATGTTGTGAATTCCCATGAGAATTTTCTCTGATATATAGGAAATATAAGAGTATATTGTCGAATTAGACCATTTCTTCCTGGTCAAAAGGAAAAACAATCTATTGTGGAACACATTGGTGAAACTGACTTGGTTGTGGCAAATCCTTCCAAACAAGGAAAGGAAGGTCTTAGAACATTTAAGTTCAACAAGGTCTTTGGTCCAACCTCAACTCAAGGTTTATTTCTTTATAATCTCCATTTTATTATTAGGTTTTGAATTTCATAATAATACCTATGCATGTTGACTTATTTTTTCTTCATTAGATTTTCTTACACTTTATTATTGTATTGATTGTTGCTCCTTTGAATGATGTAGCTGGGGTGTATGCTGATATACAAGCTTTTATACGATCAGTATTGGATGGGTATAATGTATGTATATTTGCTTATGGCCAAACTGGTTCAGGGAAAACTTACACAATGGTATGCAACTTTCTCTATATATATTACTTTTTTTCATCCTCATTCATCACGATAGTTAAAGAAAATCTCATTATATATGTTGTCATTATTTTTCAGAGTGGTCCAAATAATGCAACACCTGAGAGTGTTGGTGTTAACTATCGAGCTCTTAATGATCTCTTCAGCATATCTACGAGTAGAAAAAGCTCCATAGTATATGAAATTGGAGTTCAAATAATTGAGATATACAATGAACAAGTGCGCGACTTATTATCAACTGATGTTTCTACAAAAAAATATCCTTTTATAGTTAGTGTAGACAAATAATTATTTGCATGAACTTCTTTTTTCTAGCCTTTCTTTCTCTTACTTTTGAAAACATATATGAACTATGTTTTGTATGTCATGTTTACGAACTGTTTTCTTTGATTTACACACACTTGGGATATTGAATCACTCTCAACCAAATGGATTAGCAGTACCTGATGCCACCATGCAACCTGTGAAGTCAACTTCAGATGTCATAAAGTTAATGGATATTGGTCTGAAAAATAGAGCTAAGGGTTCAACTTCTATGAATGAAAGAAGTAGTCGTTCTCACAGGTTGTCTTTTCACTCTTCTTACAAATTTAACAATGTAAGTTTTCTAGTATAAATGACTTTCAACAAATCTGTGTGCTTAGTGTGGTCTCAATTCATGTTCGTGGAATGGATCAAAAGTCTGGTTCCACTCTTCAAGGAAATCTTCATCTGGTAGATTTAGCAGGAAGTGAAAGGGTAGATCGCTCTGAAGTAGTTGGGGATAGACTCAAGGAAGCACAACATATTAACAAATCACTATCTGCTCTTGGAGATGTCATTTTTTCCCTTTCTCAAAAGAATGCTCATGTGCCATATAGAAATAGCAAGCTTACTCAACTTCTTCAATCATCTCTTGGTAAAATAATAGTTTATCATTTCTTGTTGTTAAAAATTGAAAAATCCTTGAGTTCCTTTATAGTTTTGGGCATGTCTTTTGAATCACTTTTTCTAATTAAATAAGATTCTGTTTTTCTTTGCATAGGTGGTCAAGCAAAAACACTCATGTTAGTCCAAATTAATTCTGACCACAAGTCTTATTCTGAATCTTTGAGTACTTTGAAGTTTGCTGAAAGGGTTTCTGGAGTTGAGTTGGGAGCTGCTAAAAGTTCTAAAGATGGAAGAGATGTTAGAGAATTAATGGAACAGGTGTTCAAATTTATTAAGATGGTTATTATGTTGCTTTACTTCCAATCATTTTATGAATACATCAAATGCATTTGTTACAACTATAGTTACTTGATGTTTCAGGTGGCCTCTCTCAAGGACACCATCTTGATTAAAGATGAAGAGATTGAAAAGTTACAATTACTTAAAGATCTAAAAAATGTATATCCTGGTGCTAATTCTGAAAATGTTGGAACTAGCTCAGAATAAGTGATGATTTTTTTTTTTTCAATCGAAGGTTAATTTAGAAAGAGAAACCCCAAAACCGTAAAATGGAAGCAACAAGAAATTTGAAGGTGATGAGTTATGATTATTATTTTGCACATATAAACTCTAATATATAATTTATAACAATTATATATATATATATATATATATGAGCATAAATGTTTCAACTTATTCCAATTTTTTTTCTTTTCAGGTATTTAGAGCAACCTCTAGAATTGAACACACCATGTCTTCAAAACTGTAGCAGTAAAGTAGGAGCAGTGTACATTTGATTGTTTGAACCCTTGATTATAGTCACGTAACAATTTTGTGTATATATAATGATTTTTTACTTTGTAATAATCATTTGGGATTTGAATTTTTAACCTCAAACTTGTCACGAGAACTCTTACCATCATTTGGGTTTGATCTTGATGCGAGGATGAAAAATAAAATTATCTTTGATTTTACTTAATGACATGTACTTGACTAGAACCTAGATGGTTTTCTTGCAAAAACATATTAAAGTATATCATACTTTCAATATTTCTATCATATTTAATAAATTGCTGATTTTTGAACAAATTATCAATTGCCAATTACTGTTAATAATTTTTTAGAATGCGAATTTTACACTTAATAGAATATGTCATGATGTTAATATTATACTTTGAAATATTTTAAAAATCATATTTTAGGATTGCTTTTTCTATTTTTCCATTTTTTATTAATATTTTTTGTTCTGTTTCCATATTTAGTTAATATATCTATTATATAAATAGGAGTGATGCTTTAGGTTTATCATTATGTTACAACACATGATCATAAATCATCAAATATATAATCACTTAGTAATATATTACAAAGCGGTCGCTAAAATAATTGGTGCGGTTTAAGGTACATTAACTTATTTAGGGATGCAAACCATCAGTCACGATCGATATCCATTGCTAAATTTAACATGGACTAAATTTTAATTTCACTTTTATTTGGTCTTTAATTGTGATTGAAACAATTTGGTCAATACTTCAGTCGCTAATTGTGTCCAAGTTATTTTATAACTAATTCCGTTATCATTGTTTAAACTCAGCTTACAACATAATCATTTGTATAAATATCAGCATAACGTATGATATTTGCATAATTAGTTATTTTTAAACGATATGTTATATTTTTATAATAACATTTGAGTTATATGAAATAAATTTAACTTTATTTTTAAAATTAAAAATAATTTATACGTAAGTATTTAATTATTTACTTATTGATACCTTCTTAATAGTTTATTTCCCAATCTAATAATTTATTTATCTCAGTACCTAAAATAATTTCAACAACAATTATATGAGTAAATAAATTAACCAATATGAAATAAACTATCATCTTATAATATAAGTTGAATTTATCTTATATATCTCATCATCTATCAACTTAATAAAGTGCAATCGTAATAAATATTCGGTATTTTTATAAATTTTATATTATCTAAGAGTCGAGGTTAAGGGTAATTCATATATATCATTTCTTATCCTACTGAAATATTTTTTAAGGATAAAATCATAACGAACTAGAACTCAGAAACGTATAATATCACGAATATGAGAATTGACTTTAACGATGTTATCACAGCGAACATGAGATTGTGATGCTCTCATTCCTAGATAGAACATTGGTGCCCATTGTGGAGTCGAGATCTGAGCCTTGCTCCACTCATACTCCTTAGTCTTTGACTAAAGGGTTTATGGTTTGATATGCTCTTGAATTTCATATCGCTTAAGAGTTGAGGTCAATGATAGTTTATATATACTCTCCTCTCTCAACTCACCCCAATGTCTTTTTAGGACAAAATCATGATGAACGATCTTAAATGATATAAGACTCTAGAACAATAATTATATCATAGTTGTTAATCCAAAGCATATCAGTAACCACTTATCTATTATGTGTTTTCTTTTAATGACTTCAAACCAAAATTCCAAAATTTTTAGGAATGGAAAAATGGGTCAAACCTAGCGGGATGGGTTGATGTTTTCAGTCAGCCGGCTCACGGCCCATGTAATTAATAAAAAAGAAAAACAAATTTTATTGTAATATCGATATATAAAGTGAAAATTTGTAAAAAGAGAATTAAAATAAATTTCACCCTGACTCATTATAAGAAATATTTTCCTTACTCAAACACGAACTACTATCTTTTGCTCATGATCTCCTCTTGTTCATCTTGAATATCGATTGTTCTTATCCTTATGACTTAAACTAAAAAAGTAAGAATTACTCAATAGAAGAACAATGTAAAGTTTTATCAAATAAAAAAGATATAGATATTGAAAATTTTAAAAAAATATAAATTTTTACTTATATATTTGTTATTATTTATTATTATATAAGTTTTATTATTGTTCTAAATTATAATAATTTATTAAAATAATATGTTGATTTATATTATTAACTTAAAATATATATGTTGAATTATTGACAAATAAATGATAATCTTATTATTAAATTTATTGAAAATTTTGATGTAAAAAAAATAAATTAATTTTTTTTAATTATAGTCGACCAAGGTCTATAGTCTATCATAACTATAACGTGTCACTGTCCCACCTCGTTTTTACAGGTCAAAACGTGGTCGACTAACTCTGTTTTGTCATCTTTAAAGATTTCTCCTCTTCCATGTAATTAATTAAGTGTGATTTTCAGTTTTGTTTTTTGAATTTAAAAAAAAATTATTATTATTATATAAATGAAGACACTATTTGTTTTAAATCAATTGAAAAAAATTACATCTAACCAATATTAAGTCCAAATACAAATCACCTGATATCTATCCCCAAATTAACATAAAACTAATGAAAAGTACTATATATATATATATATATATATATATATATATATAAAGTTAACTTCATTTTAATTTTTCTTAAAAAAAATTTAAAAAGAAGTTGATTTAAATGTATCCTACATTTATATAAAACTTTCTTTTTTTGTCAATTTCCCTTCCAAACATACTCCAAAATATCTATATTTTGATTTAAAATTTTGAAGTGTACACTATGATGTTTTAAAATTTATTAATTTCAAGCTTTGTGTTAATTTTCCGTTAATTAGGTGTATTGAATGTATATTTTGTCTTTCTAAATTATAATATATATATATATATATATATATTTTTTAATTCAACAGTATATAAAAGGAAAAAATCATGATTATTTAAGAGAAGGATGTAACTATCATAAGACGCGAACAAAAAATATAATTAATGCCTATTATTAGTTTCTTATTAATTTTTCTCTTTTAAAAACAATGTGATATTTATTATTAACGAAATAAACATGTTTATAAATTGACTTGTCGTTTTTTAGGGAAAGTTGACCTATCGTTACATTAATATATATATATATATATATATATATATATATATATATATATATATATATATATTTATTTAAAGTAATATGTTCTTATTTTCTTGCTATCAATTTATCTTTTAAATGTAACTTATTTTAAAAGTTGATATATTATTTTCCAATTATATATAGTAATTTCTCTTTAATTAAAAGATATATTAGATATTTTAGGTGGAATAAAAATATGATTATAATTATATTTACAAATTTGTAAGATAGAATTTCATCCATATCTTTTTAATAAAATGAGAACGTGATAATGACACGTCAAAGAAAACAGATTATTCAGCGCCAATGGTTTAATGCAATGCAAGATTTTCCTCAGAATTTTCTTGGGATGCAGCAAGTGCAAAGAAGCAATTAAGACAGTAGCACCACCAAACAACGCGCTTCTCAATCAATAATAATCGTAATAAATAAATAAATGCACCGTATCAACCATCATCCACCAAACAAACCCTTATGCATGCCACCCCCTCCTTAACCACTTTCCACCCATCAGAATAAAGTAAGAAGCACACGTTTCTGCATTTGTGCTTGTCACACCCCCATACCCCATCTTTCATCACCATTTTATATTTTGTTTCAAAATCACTTTTTTTGGACGTTTATCCAACCAAACAAGACTTTCCTTATTTCTCTCTCCCACTCACTCACCTTTTCACACCATTCCAAAGGCACCCACTTCACATCACCAAATAGTTATCCACATTCTTCTATTCCCAAAATTTCAAACCAAAATAATAATGAATAGTCTATATATCTAGTATCTATCAAATGAATTTGGAGACAAGGATTAAAATATTACCAGACAAGAGCCTCCAAAACTGACCATATCATGGCCTATGAAGCTTCCTAAGATTCTCTTACAATAATTATTTCTCATTAGACTAATGACCCATTACCAGTTGTACAAATAATATTCCACCTTGTCTTTTGGTCTTAAAGAAATAGCATGAATAAAGTATAAACAATAGTTCTTTTATATAATGAAATAGGTGGCACCTGCAAATAGGTCACCCACAAAAAATATATTTTACAAGATTCCAAAGATAAATCCTCAATTCCTCCTCCACAATACAATTACAAAAGGAGGAGCTGAGCTTCAAATGACATGAAAGTTACAGACTCTTGATCCATGAAACTCACATGAAAGTTTCAATCTAAAGACCCCATCATATAAACCTAACAAGAGAGAAGAAGGCTTTTGCTCACCTTTTTCTTTTCCTTGATGTGTTCCCTTTCTTTTATTCTTCAAAAAGGATGAAACTAAGAAGAAAAGAAATTTTCCACCATCTCTCAATTATACATGACTTAATTAACTCATCAACAACTTCCATAAGACCAGTATATACATATAATACAATAAGATTGAAATTAAGATTAGCTTCTCAGTCCCAAAAATCTCCTCTGCTCTTAGAACTTTGGTGATTCTTAATCCTCCTTTCTGACTTTTTTTCTTTTCTTTTATCTTCTTTGATTAAAATTGAACTAAGCAACAGCAGAAATACTGCAGTTGCGCCTATCCCTGATGAGGCAGTCAAAACCTTCAATCCTCACTGCAGCTGGGGAGTGACCAAACTTCATCCTAACACAACCTCTAGCTGAGGAAGATGGTGAAGGGGGTGCCAAGGAAAATGGACCAAAATTATCAACACCAGTACCAAATTGCTCATCTTGGATCACAGGATTTGAGGCCCTGCTAGGTGGAGATCCACAGTAAAATGGAGGTGATGAAGCCAATTGCACACCAGATCTCTGCAAAAGAAATCAAATTGATGCAATCTTTGGTTAGATTTCACATATCTTTCAATCAACAACAATAAAAACAACATCCAAACCACAAGATAGAGATGTTATCATCTCTATTCCTTGGCAATCAACACAAAAACTTAATATTTGTTAAATCTTTGAGAAATCATATGAATCAACCATCTCTTTTGCATTTAAAATATTTTAAAAAACAAAGAGAAAAAAAAACACTTTCTTTTCAACTTGAAGATCGAGACAGAAAAAAAAAAAAACCTTGGGGAGGATGATGTCCATAAGCTCAGTCGCAACTCCTGAATCTTCAAATTCCGATTGGTAGCTGTCGATTTTAAGGAGCAAATATAAAGTCAGAAATTTACAAAATAATTTGATTAGGAAACATGAACAAGAAAAATAAGAAATTATATAATTTATTTTTTGAAAAAGAAGGTTGAATTCATACTTGATGAAGGGTGGCCTCAAGGGTCTGATGTGGTTGTCAAAAGTTGAGTGGTTCAAGAGGCCCAATCTTCGAGGTTTAGGGCATACTACTGATTCCATCCTCATCTCCTCACAGGTTGTCAAGGCCTTCTGCTGATAACCACACTGATTCATCTTTGCTCTTTCTCTTCACACCTCCAAACCAAGGATCTTGACAAGGAACACCTGCAACACAAAACACAAACAAATCAATTAGTTTCCCCCAGGTTGCTCACAAATCTGAACAAAAACAAACCAAATCTAACAAAATCATCAACCAACACACACAAAGAAACCCCTTTATTCCAAGTTTTATTTTTTTCCCCCCAAACTAAAAGAACCCCACAAAGACATCAAATTTGAGACATGTAACAAAACACACGGAGACCCTTTTGTTAAAAAGCCTTTAAATTTAAGACCTTGAACACAAAACAAGTCCATACACCATAAGCTCAGATTTCAAATCTATGAAAGCATAAGCCTTCAAAAGCTGACTTAGTTTTTGAGGAGGAAAAGAGAGAGAGAGAGAGAGTACCTGAGCAGCCTCAGAGGCTCCTTCAAGAGGAAAAGAGGACAGAAATTTTGGGTGAATGAATCAGGGAACAATGAGGAGAGAGAGAGAGGGAGTTAGAAAGAGGTGGCTGAGTATTCATAGAAGATGACCATGAAAAAAATAAGAAGAAAAATAATAGAGGAATGCTAAAGTGGGGCAAGGTGCAGGGATTATAACATGAGATAGCATATATACACCATAGGATAAATGATTACTGGGGTAGACTTTTTGATTTGTTGACGTGGCAAGATAAGAGAGGTGTGATGGAAATAGTGAGAGACAGGGGGAGAGTGTGTTTTTTACCTTTTTGACCTTCCTATATTCATGCACCTCTGTGGTGCCTGTCCTCTTCTTGTACGGTTCACAACGAACCCCCAAACTCAATGTGGTGTGTGTGAGACTCAGAAAATATCAACAATAAGAAGATGCTCTTTCCTAATATCAGTAAACTCTGATTTTCATAGATTAGACCTAAGCCTAACTTGTTATCAAATCCACGTTCAATTTCATAAACTGATTAGTCTCTTTATCCACAATTAATTATTGTTAAAAAAAATTAATGTAAGATAAAACATTAATCAAGTTTAACTTTTTTATCGGTATTCATTGCATATAAAGTGTAACATAAGCAATTAAGGTTCTGTGATTTATTTATTTCCTTTTATTATAAGTATAATAGAAAAACATTAATAATTATTTCCCGTGTTGTATTTAAAATGAGAAAAAACTAAATAGAGTTAGCATTGAGTTTTCTGTATCTTTTCTTAATGACAATTTTGGAAACATCATTATAACGTGTAAAGAAAATTATGCTTATCAAATCTCTCAAGTGAAATTTCCTTTTTTGACGTCTTAATCTATATTAAAATTTTGATACGTCAAGTAATTTTCTTCTAATTAAAATATGCCATGCAATGCAACGATATTTTGAAATTTTGAAATTGAAGGTTTGTTTTTTACACAAAATATTGATAAATCAACTGTAAATGTATTATTATTATTCTAAATAACGTTCTTCTACCTTCTTCATTAATTGATGCTAAATTTAATAGTTAATTTTTGAGAAGAATTGAAACTTATTTATTATTTGTTTTCCTTTCATAAATTCCTTAGCAAATTATACTAATATAAAGTAAGAGCAAAGTTTAATTATATATCTATAAAAAGTAACAATTAAAAATATATCATTACATTTTATTTATTGATTCAATTTTAATTATGTTATTACTCTATTTATTGATACAATAATAAAATAAGAGCATAAAGAGAGTCAAGAAAAAAAAATTGAGATAAATACTAGTATGAACAATAAAATATGATGTCTCGTGTACTGGAGAAAAGGAACCAAACAACTACTTGAAGTTAGAGAGTATATATCAGCACTCATTGAATTCAATTAACATATACTCCAATGTTCATTTTTTTATTTAATTATTGTTATAAAAGATAGTATGAGAATGTATTGTGAAAATAAGATTATTCAGTCGTAAATGCAAATGTGACATTCTAAAAGAGGCATGATGAGTGGAGGAGTATGGGTACACCAACTACATGATGAAGCATAAAAAACAAAATGCATAACATGGAATCTCTTATCTGCAAAACCAAAGCCACCATGGTGGCATAAATTAAAGGTAAAAGTAACGTCCATGCTTAGGTTTAAAAAAATAAAAGTATAAAAAAGGCATGACATATGAATGAGTGTATCATCTTGGTTGCCACAACATTGACAAATGATATTATATTGGTTAAGTAAATCCATTCCAAGAAAGAAATCTAGAAATTGTCACCCAATAAATGTCTCATGTATTCGGAAAGATATTGTGTATTATAATACTTTCAGTAATTTTTTTAAGTTAGTTACCCCTTTCATTTTAAAATATATAATATTTAAGATTTAAATACATAAATGACTCACCGTGCAGTCTAGGTCATATATGCTAAATAAAAAAATAAAAAAAGTGAGTATCACCTATATTTTTAAATGGTATAAAGATTTATTCTAATTTGATTTTAACTTAAAATCCACCCACTAATGAACTCATTTTTATATGATTGAATTAAAAAAATTAACATGTATATAAAATTAATTAATTAAAAAATATTAAAATAAAAATAAAAATTATATTTTAAAAATTTTAATTTATAAATGAAATTAGTTTTGTTTAAGATATAATAATTTAATATATAAATTATAGGATAATATATCTATTTAATCTTAAAATAAGAATTAAGTACTTATTTTTTATCATTATTTATTATTAGTAATTTATTAATTTAAAATATAATTAAACATAATTATTAGATTTTAAAATAAATAACTATTAAAAATTTATTATGATATTTATTTTTAGAATAAGTGAATATCTGTTAAATTAATTTATAATATATATATATTTTTAATAAAATAATATTATTTTTATTTTTATTTAAAAAATAATTATTATTTTATAAACATGTTTGATTATAAGTCTATCAATTAGTTTCACTTAAATCTATATACATCATGATCTAAATAAATAAAAATAAAATAAGTTTTATTCGTCGTATATTTTTTAACTTAATCTAACTAATTTCTTTCTGTTCTATCAGACTAAATTCATTTTAACACCTTTATAAATTAGTAAAATTATTATTATTATTATTATTAGTTTTTTATTAACATCTATTATTTTTATATCCTTTCACTAAATATTTATAATAAATGTAATTTATATATATATAATTAGTAAAAAGATAATTAATATAATCTTAAAATTTATAAACGTTAATATATTTAAACATTAATTTTGTCTACACAAAAACATATTATATTTTAAAATAAAGGAGTAGAAATCTAAATCCTATTATACTTTCTACTCAAAGTACTATAATATGATAAATAAATTAATACTAAGATCATAATTAAACTCCTATTAAAAGGATCAATAAAAAAAACTTAAACTTTTCTAATTTAAAAAATTAAGGACAAAGATGAGTACGAGGATTAATATTAGTGCAATCCTCATTTCGATCTTGTCTTTAAATTTATATTTAAATATTGAAATATTAATATTTTTAAAATATTTTATTTTATTTTTTATATTATATTGAAAGTCAATTTTTTTTATATTTTACTCATTTTACTTTTCTTCTATCCATTTTTTTTTAATATAGTAGATTAATTAATTAATTATATTATTATTTTTCCTATATTTTTTGTTTATTCACATTTTCTTAAATCTTTTTAATTAATTTATTTTTTTTTTCAATTTTTTTTACTATAACAAATACAAAGTTATTTTTTCTTTATTATTTTATTTATAATTTATCTTTACTAAATTTTATTATATTATATTTTTCAGAATTCATTATTCTTATTTATCATTAAATTTTATCTTAATAAAATAATTATATTTTAAAAAATTAAATAAAATTCATAATTAAAACTTGTATTATTTTGAACTAATTAAATAAATTTAACTTATTAAATAATTTTTTATAAACTATATATTTCATATTTATAAATATTTTAAAATAACAATTTAAACAAATAATAAACTTTTATATATATATATATATATATATATATTAATAATAATATTATTATTATTATTATAAATATTTCATAATTGTATAAAGAAGAAAACATTTTTTACATATATATTTTAATATAATATAATAAATTAAAATATATACTTAATTAATTAATAATTATTATTATTATTATTATTAATAAAAGTTATAAAATGTATAAATATTTATTTATGTATAAAAAATATTAAAATTAATCTATTATCAAATATAATTATTTATTTAAAAATAATGTACAATTTTAAAACACAGTTCCAGCATAAAACTCGTCCCACTTCCACTATTACCGTACCTAATTAATGTTGTATATACCAATATTTAGTAATTGACAATTTACATCATTTGGTTGGTTGATGTAGAAATAAACGAAGTTTTGATGTCCAATGATAATATTTGTACGATTAGTTATTGTATTTGAAGAATTTAAAATATAATTTATTAGAAAATTTTAGTTCATAAATTTTATTTTTAAAAAACATTTTTATAAATAAAAAAAGTTGTATATTTTTATAAATTTTCTTTAATTTAATTTGAAAATAATAAAAAATTTCTAAACGTACCAGAATAATAATAATTTTTATTTTTTGATTTAAAACATCCAAGGATAACTTATTTCAAACTCTTAAAAAAATTATATAAATTATATTATTTACTATTTAACAACTAATTAGGTGAGTAGATAAATAGTGAAATTTCATTTGACTCCATCCAAGATTAAGTCATGTATTTTCTTAAAAAATTATATATTAACCTTAAACATCATACAAATAAGTTGGGTAATTACGATAATTTAAAATAAAAATAAAAATCACGTAACCAACGTTAACATTGAGAGAAAAATTAACATTTACTTTCCTCTAAAGAAGCAAATGATATGAATTTTGATAGCTTGTCCTGAAGCAAGAGAGTAAAATGATGAAAAGAAGAAGTTAAGAAATAGTATGAGAAGACTCTGATTATTTGGCTTCATATGGAAGCAAAATTGAGTCTTGAATAAAAACCAAGTGTGATGGTACATATCATATTATATAACTGCACACACCTAACTTGAATTTGTCTAAGAAATGAGTCCACCATGTTAGGTATATGATTTAAGTTCGTGTTTCTACCCCAACAACAGCTCACATGATTGCATTTCACACCCTTTCTATTTCGCACATGAATCAACATGACAATGATTAAATATAAATATTAATTTTTAACTTAAAAATACTCGATCAAATATTGACTAAAATATCTGTTATAATAAAAAAAATCATCAATAAATATATAAGTCTAATTGAAATACATAATATAATTTTTTTCTGATAATAAGAAAAATATAATATAAAAGAGAGTTCATATCTTTTTATATTTTTATGATATTTTGAAGGAATTCACATAGTGATTATAATTTACAAGTGTATCAAATTTAAAAAAAATAAATAAATTATTATATCCTTCGTATCTAATATAAAAAATATTAATTATTATATCGATTTAAGAATTCACGTAAAAAATATATATTTTATATATTTTCTATTTATATATATAAAAAAAGTTTTTTAACTCACAAGTTCAATTTCATTTAACAATTAAAATTAAGAATAGATTATAATTTTTTTTTAATTTATTAAAACATTAAAAAAAATAAACAATATATTATATATAATATTGGATATAACAATATTATAACTTAAAACAAATATATTATTATGTCTAGATAAAAAATTCATTTACTTCAAAAATAAAAATAAAATTTTATTCTTTGTTTCTATCATTTTTTTTAATCTAATAATTAAAATTATTTATAATTTTAGACTATTAAATTAATAATAATAATAATAATAATAATAATAATAATAATAATAATAAATCTCAAATAATTTTATGAGTATGCGTGTGGTGATAAAGGAAGGGAAATTAATGGTAGTAGTTTGAAAGCAGGAGGGTGTAAAGGAAAAGGAAGGGCATAAATATTCCATTTGAAAAGAGGAAATGAAATGACAAATAGCACTTTCAATGTTGCCAATGCCATGTGATGCGCGAATGAGTGGGGATCGCACCCTTTGCCTTTTTTTTATTCATCCCGATTCAATTGCTAATTGCTATTTCTACCATTCACCACACAATGCACTTCATTATTAATAATATATATATAAATAAATATCTTCCTTTCTCATATTCATTATAATAATATAATTAATTCCTACATCAAAATATTATTCACTTTCAAATTCTTATTTATTATAATTTAATTTTTAAAATATATCTTAATAAATAAATAAAAATATTATTATAAACTACACTTTAATAGATGAAAGACTCATTAATATACGATAACGTAAATCTTTAATTAAAAATTAAAAATATGTTAATTAAAAATATTTATAAGTAGAGCAAGACATGTCAAAAATAATAAATATACCATTTATTGTCACTTTATTATAAATTTAATTAATCCCCAAAATGTAAAAATATTTAACTTTGTCTTAGCATGAGATTTTTCTTGATTTTTTTTATCACATGCAACGTTTCTATAGATTTCTACGTACCTTCCTTCATATTTGTTTATTATATTTGTTCTTAGCTAAAATGGCATTCTTTTAATTTTTTTTTCTCTCAATAATTGATGGACAATTATAAAGCACGTTGAAACGTGTGTGGAATATATTTTGTGAAGATCTAATTAGTTGAATATTAGATTCCGTCCCTTGATTAAAATGTTGTTTAAAGTCCATAATTATTTTTAGAAAGAAGCCAGTGGATTTTAGATTGTGTCCAAAAGCAATTGGGAGAGTCAAACATGTCGTTTAATAGTCTAATTAGTATATGGATTGTAATCAATAATTCCATTCACTTTCTTTGACTTAGTCCCACTTTTACTTATTCATTCTATAAAGGTAGAGAACATAATTACTCAAATCATTTTAAACTTTTATTAGAAAGCCTAATTTGAGGATTGAGAAGACATAATTACTCAAATCAATAAATTGTCACACTATCTTAAAAGTGAATTATACATAATTCAATCTTAAAAAAAATTAATTTAATTATAATTAATCATGGATCTTCAACATATATTTCACATTATAAATAAAATATCTTAAGTATAAGACTAAATATTTTGTGATAATCTGATATAAGGATAAAAATTTTGATATGATATCCTTCTGACATATCTTAAAAATTAAATTAGACTTAACCTAATTCTACAAATATTTGTAAGGAGAAAATTATATTTATATATGTTAGATCTTCATTATTAGTTATTTTTTTTTTTAAATAGACGTCACATTAATCTTGTTAAATTTTTTTCATTACATGTTCTCATGATTTTTCATATTATACTTTTCTAAATACTCGTCCGTTAATATATTAACAGACTAACAAAATATATGAAAATAAAAAAAACTAATTTTAAAATTAAGATGGTAATATTGCTTAAAATAATAATAATAATTTTATAATAAAATCTGTAATTAAATATTTTATTTTTCATTTTTTAGTTTAAAAACGGTTCTTTAGAACAATTTCATATGCCACTTAATAATTAATTTCTAATTAAAAAATATATTTTTTGGCAATAATGAGTTCAAGTTTTATTAGGTTTTGAAAGTTGTTTATAGAATAAATATTTTTAAAATAAAAAAAATAAAAATAGTCATTTTTTTATCTTGTTTAAATTTCGCACTTCGATTCTTTTAGTGCTCTGTTTGATTTTTTTTTTAAAAACCATTCAATATCTTCGAAACTAAAACCAAAATCGAACCTCCTAACACAATTTTCTCATATCCTCTTCTCGATCTCCGTCTCGGTAAGAAAATGTTGTATTTTAATACTAAAAATAATTTTAAAAAATTGAAATTAAACACACTTTTAAAATCTTATCTTAAGAACGAGTTTCTTAGTTGGAGACAGTGCTATATTTGTGGGCTGGGAAAGTATAGCTTTAGGGTGGGCCTTAATGGGTCGACCCAACAACTTTTTTGTATAATTTTTTTTCTGTTGAAAATACAGGTTGAAAAGGATGTATTTTTTGGTTACATTTATTTATAGGTTATATATGTTATTTTTTTTTTGTTCCCACATATCAACATGTATTTTTTGGTTACAAATTTCTAAGATGGGATACATTGATTGAAAGAACATGTGCAGAAATATGAGAAAACACAAAAAATGGTTTTTTTTACATGCTCCAATGGTGTATGTATATTTTATTGTACACTTATATTTCATGAATTTTGTATGGTTTTGGAATCAAATAAAGGGCATTGATTGAACTTTTACTTTTCTGCTTGCAGATTAGATATTTAAGAAAAAAATGAAAAATATAAAGATTGATATGATAATTAAAAAAGAAAGATATAAAAGAAATGTAATTGAAGGCTGCTATCCAAAAAGCTCCTCCAAGAAGCTGTTGTTGCTTTAAGAAATATTTTACAATTTTTAGGTTTGAGAAGAAAGTTAACTTGGTCATTAATTAAAAAGTGAAAGCTTTATAAAATAGTATTTCATAACTTGTTAGAATTACTTGATCAAGATGCTTGATTTATTCCTTTATTGCCAATTTTCCTCTTTGACAAAACTAAGTGGAGGTACTTTCTGTAATATTATTTTGAAGAAGAAAAAGAATCACTAACCTTACCGTTCTTAACCGTGTGATATACTTAATACTTTTTTTTTTTTTTTTTCCAAGAGAGCAAGACTACTTTTTTATATGCATGTTCTTCTTTTGATTCAGCTTAAAACCCTTATAGATAAACCCTAAGTAAAAAGCTAAAGCAAACTAAAGCTATTCATTCTTGTCTCTATCTTCATTCCTTGCTTTGTCTCTGGTCTTTCCCTTTCAACATTCATCAAATGACATAAGCATGCATCTGCATCTTTACTTTGCCCTTCTTTTCCTCTCATTTCAGGCTCCAAAATCCATGCCACCCCACATGTTTCACTTTGATTTGTAGGGTCCCCTCATTTTTTTTCTTTAACCACACAAATATTTTATTTACAAAACAAAGGGTGTGTTGTGGATATTCCTTTGGTGCAGCCATGCACATTCATGATCCAGTCACCAAGCAATATACATAAACCTTTTTGTGGGTCAATGTGCAGGGAAAAAAAGTGGCGTGGAATCTCTTTGTAGTTTTCCTTCCACCACTCTCACTTTGCTCATCTTCTCTTCACACCAATGCAACTGTTCCTCACTCAACTCGCTCATTCTCAAAACCCTTGACACCACTTTCAGGTCTATCAGTCCCATCAGAATCTCCATCTCTTCTTCTCCCTTCAGCTTCCTCTTCCTCAAGCATTTGCTTGAACGCCGAAGGTCCTTCACTTTCATCTTCTTCTGCAAATACACACAATAAGATGCATGTTAATTATGATAAACTATAATATAAAGTTATATAATGATCTGGAAAGCACTTAAGAAAATGATTAATTTAACTAACTAATTGCCTTTTGATTAACTTTCTTGATGAGGCGTAGAAGTGTTGGATCAACCAAGGGTCTTCGGTTTCTCCTAAAGTAAGCTGCAAGAATCTGACATGGTTTCTCTTTATCAGCCTTCAGAAAACTCATGAACGTTCTGATCCCATCTTCCATTATCATAAGAAATGAAGCTGATGATATTTTTGACTGAAAACCATTCTCATCCCTCTGATCATTTTCTGATTCTATGTTATAGCACACACAAAAATAACTCCTTAATTAGTTAATCATGCATCACAATGCTATATTAATAAGGTGTATTTAATCTGCCACTTAATAACTAATAAAAGAAAAACACATTATTTCTTCGCTTTTTTATGATAAAATCCTTTGTTCCTAATTGTATAATTACTCTGGAATATGAAAATTTAACTTAATTAAAACGAAAGTTTTTGTAAAGTTAAAAATTAAAGTAGACGACAACACTTGCAAATCTCAAAAACAGAAACAAAGCTTTACTCTTTAATTGGAAAAAGCATCAGTTCACATCTTACTAATTTGAATTAAATTATAGTAATTAAACGATAAACACTAATGAAATAATAATAATAATAATAACATATACCTCGATATTCTGGTACTAGTAGCAATTTTGGAGCCAAATGCCTCACTCTAGCATAGATCTCTGGTCTTCTACCATGCTCATAGGGCTCGTTCTCAACGTATCTCTGCAACAACACTTGAAATTGTTGGAATCTCTGTGCAATGGTGGCTGGACAACCCACATCAACTTCATGGCCTCGTGAAGCACGTTTGGATTGAAAATTCTTGTAGTTCCAATTAAGGGCTTCCCATGTTATGCAAATTTGTGCAACATATGCAGCCTCAAGTTCATGATATGGGTTGTGGCGTGTATCACCTGGTTTTTTATTCATACTTGAAAACTTGAATACAATACGCTCTGAAATTGACCTCGGAGATACCTTGATAGACCTTAAAGATTCTGAAATTAATCAAGTAGTTAATCACATGCAATGGAAAACCAATCCTCCACCATATTTAAACTTGCAATCACTGTAATAATATATGCATTACACTAAAGAAAAAGATTGGTCACCCTTTTAGATATCTAAACACCTAGAAAGAAAGACGAATGAAAAAATAAAGATAGTTGATTAACATGATTTGCAAATAAGAAGAAGAAGAAGAAGAAGAAGAAGAAGAAGAAGAAGAAGAAGAAGAAGAAGAAGAAGAAGAAGAAGAAGAAGAAGAAGAAGAAGAAGAAGAAGAAGAAGAAGAAGAAGAAGAAGAAGAAGAAGAAGAAGAAGAAGAAGAAGAAGAAGAAGAAGAAGAAGAAGAAGAAGAAGAAGAAGAAGAAGAAGAAGAAGAAGAAGAAGAAGAAGAAGAAGAAGAAGAAGAAGAAGAAGAAGAAGAAGAAGAAGAAGAAGAAGAAGAAGAAGAAGAAGAAGAAGAAGAAGAAGAAGAAGAAGAAGAAGAAGAAGAAGAAGAAGAAGAAGAAGAAGAAGAAGAAGAAGAAGAAGAAGAAGAAGAAGAAGAAGAAGAAGAAGAAGAAGAAGAAGAAGAAGAAGAAGAAGAAGAAGAAGAAGAAGAAGAAGAAGAAGAAGAAGAAGAAGAAGAAGAAGAAGAAGAAGAAGAAGAAGAGAGAGAGAAGAAGGAAGAAGAAGAAGAAGAAGAAGAAGAAGAAGAAGAAGAAGAAGAAGAAGAAGAAGAAGAAGAAGAAGAAGAAGAAGAAGAAGAAGAAGAAGAAGAAGAGAAGAAGAAGAAGAAGAAGAAGAAGAAGAAGAAGAAGAAGAAGAAGAAGAAGAAGAAGAAAGAAGAAGAAGAAGAAGAAGAAGAAGAAGAAGAAGAAGGAAGAAGAAGAAGAAGAAGAAGAAGAAGAAGAAGAAGAAGAAGAAGAAGAGAAGAAGAAGAAGAAGAAGAAAGAAGAAAGAAGAAGAAGGAAGAAGAAGAAGAAGAAGGAAGAAGAAGAAGAAGAAGAAGAAGAAGAAGAAGAAGAAGAAGAAGAAGAAGAAGAAGAAGAAGAGAGAAGAAGAAGAAGAAGAAGAAGAAGAAGAAGAAATCAAGTATTATACTAATAGAATTATTTGTTAATATAATGCATGTTTCTATGTTCAGATGGCACTTTTTTAAGAGTGAATAATGTAAAAAAAAGGGAAAATTACCAGTTTCTTGAAGTTTCTGTGCACTAATTCTATCTAGAAATGACATTTCTTCATCATATTTTTGGAAAACTGTGTAGGATTCCCACTTGGGGCAACTTCTTCTTGATGAGGAAGAAAAAGGATCATCAGTTCCAGAATCTCTGCAGTTAATGGAGCTCCTCCAATCAGAGGAGCTCTTAGAAGTGGACCCAACAGTGCATGAGTCACCGTATATTTCTTCATCATCCTTTTCCTCAACAATGAGCTTCTTGGCTTCCAATTGGGTGGGAGCATACACCAAGAATCTCTCATCCCGTGTGAGGCTTGCCTCTAGCACCTTCTTATTTTCAACAAGTCCAATTTCAACACGATCTTCTGCACAAAAAATAGAATCAGTAAGAGTTGGAGTATGTGAAAATGTTGCATGTGAATAATGTAACAAACTTTGGTAATAGATACCGTCATAGATTTTGTCACTGTCTGGTGAGTCACTTTTGTAGAGGTTCAGGGTGATGGGAGATGTGGGCCTGCTTTCATCCGGGACAGAATTTGGAACAGAATCAGCATCTTCAGCTGGAAATTCTTCTTCCTCTTCTTCATTTTCGAAGTCTGAAACTAAAGATGACTTGTGAAAAGACAAGGTTTCTGTTGAATACTTTTCTTCTGACTCTTCTTCAACAAGGCTATCCCGGGGGCTTATGAATTCATCGGAAGAAGAATGAGTCCTGTGAGGCTGGTTGTTGTGCACAAACAAAAGGGATTCTCCACCACCAATGATGTCAGCTACAAGGTGATCTGTCTCACTAGAATCATGCATATAAGAGTAGTTTTCTTGAATTTCTTCTTCTCCTTCTTCTTCTTCATCATACTCAGAAGACACATATTCATAGTGGTGATCTCTGCAACATGTAAAAAGAAAAGCTGTGAGTTACGGTAGTGGAGGCAAGTGGGGAGAGAAAGAAGGAAGAAGAGCAGCATAACAAGACCTTCGGAAGATGGTGAAGCTGGCAATGAAGTTTAAGAGCTTGATAAGCAAAAAGGAAGAGGAGAAGAGGAGGAGGAAGAGAAGGTGGAAGGAGCTAGAGGCATTGTAGAAGAGTCTAACAAGAGCTTCTTCTTTGGAACATGGCATTTTCTTTGTGGTTGCTCCAAAGGACTCCTCCACTAAGCAAAGCAACTCCTCTAAAAAAAAGTTGGTTGCTTTCCAAACTTATTAACATCTATCCCTCTCTGTCAACATAGGTCAAAAAAATACTGAATTCTCCAGTATATCCTCAAATGGTTTTTACCCTCATTATGTATGTTCCAATTATAAGATGCAAGCACAAGGTCAAATCTGTCATGTTGTCCTTAATGTTCAGAAGATTGGACAAGTGTGCCTTCTCTCTTACAATAAGATTTGTTGGTCTTCTAGATCTAGATATATAGGGACTTGGAATTTTGACTTTTATATGAAGTTAGGATTTCGAAGGACATTCTCTTGTATAATCACAAGTCTGAGAATTCCATATTAATTGTGCTTTCACTTGTAATAGAAATTTGTGATGAGAAGTAAATGGTTTTGCTAACCATGATATAAATAATAATAAAAAAAGTATTATAAAATTCAGCAAAAATATATGTTATTATATTACATTTTATAATTTATTTTGCACCTATCTAGAAGAATGAAATAGTTAAAATTTCCTGTTAATTAGAGTTCCTTAGGCAAGATCTAATATTGTTATTTATATGAATTTTGATGTTTAATTTTCTTTTTCTTAGTTTTTTATATCGTGTCTTATCAATTGGTTTGGAACATAGTTTTCCTTAATAGCAGGAAAAAGAAAAAGAAGGGAATCATTTGGACTATACTTTATATAACACACAAAAACCAAGTTTGTAACAGGGTCCTTTTATTTTGCCCTATATGAACATATGTGAAGTTACTTACACAAACAAAAGCAAAAAGGAAGAGACCAAAACCAATCCATACACTAAGTTTGATAGGTAAGAACTTCACTCTGTTGTACAAAGAATGGTATATGACATGTTTTTTGTTTTTTTGTTTTAAAAAAGTCGAGTACATAGCATAGTTTTTAATAAAAAATAGTATAAATATGTTAAATGCTTTTTCCACCAAATTAAAATATATTAAAGTTTTTTTTGTCTGCCAAATTAAAATGTATTAAAGCTTTTGTCTTGCCCAATGGAGGCTTTGAGTGTGTTCTTGACCTAACAAAGGAATAAAAAACCTTTTCAAAAAGATGATATCAATTGCATTTAGCATTTACGAACCCCTTAATTGATCCTTGTCTTGAACTTGGTTACTAAGATTGCACATTGTAGTGTAGATTCAAGGTGTTTTCAATTTTATTTTAAATTTTTTATTTATTTATGGATTTTATCGGATCATTTTTTTTTTCAGTCTATTATCTGTCATCATTTTAGCAAAAAGTGGCTAAATCCTTGAATTGGGCCGGTCGTGGTCAACCACAGTCACTAAACAATGCTCAGGCCCAACATAGATTATTATGTTTCATTTTACTCCAAATTACAACATTTTTCTTTGTCTTTAAATATAAAGAAAAACCATTATTGAAAATTCAAACATGATTTAAAAAATGGTGAGATAAATCTTACAAAATATTGATAATTATAATTTATATATATATATATATATATATATATATTATATTATATTAGAATGTTATTGTATGTAATGTCATATTTTTTAACAGTTGAAAATAATGTATTTAATACTCAATTTAATTTGATTTTTATTAAATAGTTATCTAATTAAATATAAAAATTTAACATAATTTAATTTCAATCGATTTTTGTAGTTATAAAATTGTCAAATATTATTTTAAAAAATTATAAAACATTTTTTTACAAAATATATTATGAAACATTCTATAATAATAAAAAAATTTCGAGAAATATATCATGAAATATAACAAGAAAAATACATATATATCATTCTTTTGACGAATAACTAAACCAAGATCTAAATTTTATTAATTAAAATATATATTCACAATTTGCAATTTTATGGTTAAAATAATGTCATTTCTTTGAAATCATAAAGCTCAGATGAAAAATAAATCATACCATCTCAAGCTTATTGAAATTTCCTCTCTGTTAATTTGCTAATGTGCTGTAAAAATAATTTTTGATCGATGTGTGGATATAAATGAACGGTGTTCATCTAAAACAATGTAATATATACATATATAAAAGTTCCATTTTCAGCATTTAAAGTATGATATCGTCACTTATTAATTTGATATATCTACCTATTATCATATAGTGAAAAATAACTATGAAAGTTGTATTTAGATGGTGCTTATTTGTAGCTTAAAATTATTTTGAATTGTGAATGTATATAAGTATTCAAACTTTGAACTTTGAAACATTATCTCTAGTGAAAAAAAAAGGCGAATAACTTATCACATATACATGTTTATGAACACTTAAACATAGGCCACAATCAAATTAAATCAAAAGTTATTAATAACACCCATTTGAAGGATTTTCAGGTGAAAAAGGTAGAACTATTAAGCTGAGTTTTGTTATAGTTTAATATCGTTAATTTGAACTTGAAAGAGATAGAGAGTGAAAGAGATCAAGAGAGAGAAAGTGAATGTTTGAAAACTTGAATGAAGACAAAAAGATAGAAGGAAGAGACAAATTAAGAGGACGAAATTAGAACTCTTGTTCAAATATTTAGGTCTGAAAGATGGAAACGCAATGAGATTAAAGGACAGATGTAGAAATAATGATTAATTTCAGTTTGAGCTACCAGCAGAAAACATGTGCCAAATAGAACATTTCTTAATTTCATGTGTGGCTTTTTGACTTTGTGGTTTATGTTTCAGTTCCCCCAATGCCAAATTTATTAAAAAAAAGAAGAAGCTATTATTGTTAGAGAGAGAGAGAGAGAAGAGTATGATATACATGAAAGTGTGCTTCTAGAAACCCTGGTGTATGCATGATTACGTAGAACTCACAAAATTCTTGTTTAGGATTGACATTTAGAGGAGGCTGTAGTTAAATATTAAGACATGAAATTGTGGTCAAAGAGAAAGGGATTACCTTAAGAATGTACACACAGTCTTGTGGGTTGGTGACCATTTTAACCACTCGGTAATATTAGTCACCACACGCACAAAAAAAAACTGGAAAAAAGTTATGTACATATGAACAGGAAATGGATTTTTTCCTAGGTAATGCCGACATTCACATACCCTTATTGCTGGATTTTTTCATTCTCTCTTTTATATTTCGATTTCTGTATGAACATGCTTCCTTGATTAGCTATATATATATATATATATATATATATATATGTGATTTTGATCTTATAGAAACTGCTGTTTGATTGATACATTGTTAGAATTTGGAACAAGTAATCTACTAATTGGCAATCTTCCTTCACTAAATTAGGAAAATTAAAGTGACTTGTCAAAGATTTGATATAGGGGATTTGGTGGAGAAAAGAAAATGAAAAGTTAAATATAAAGTATGTTTGGTTTCATCTAGTGTATTTGCAGTGTGTATATATATATATATTAATTAGGTGGGATCGAGTGTTTACTAAATATAAAAAATTATATAGTCAATAAATGTGATTATTTCATTTTTTTAATTGATGTATTGTGTAATTATTAGATCGAGTATTTACCATTAAATAAAAAAATTCAATTACAACTTTTTCCACCTTAACTAGGACAATTAATACATCTCATAACAATTTTACTCTAATTTTTCTTCTATTTTTTAACCAAATAATAGACATATTTATTATTTTTCTTCTTTTATTTTCTTATTTATTTCATCTTCAAATCAATTGATTATAAATACAATAATCTAATAAATATATAAGTTGCATCCAAAAAAAATTAAAGTTAATGATACGAAACTCTCGTTAATATCTCTCATGATATAGATGATATCATAAGAAAATACCTATTACAGCATATAAAATAAAATAAAAACTCTATAGTATATTATATTTCAGAGAATCACGGTAAATATTATTATATTTAAGCTAAAAAAACAATTGAATAATAATCGATATTATCATATTTCTAACTTATTTCTAACTTAGAATCAACTAATATAAATAGCAATATAAAAAAATAAGTGGACAGTGGTGAGAGTGGAGAAGAACATATATACATGATACAAGTTCAATAATTAAAAATGAAGTAAAGAGAATAAGGTTTAGATGAGTCCATGTTCCCACTGAGACTAGCGTGAAAGGCTTTTCTGGTGGGTAGAAATGGGTGAAGGTGGTTGGACAGGATCATAGAAAATATATTTGTGGAAATTAATATATCTCAAATATGGTGTAACAGAGACTCAACCCCCTCGTGCACAAACAATATCATATCCACTAGTCTTCCCAATAAATTTCACAAAAATATATCATCTTTTCACATTACATATATATTGAATATGACACATAACACACTACATTTGATACAGTCAATTGGCCTCATCAGCTATATATGCTCTTGGTTTGTTCAGTAAATATACGAAAATCCCAGCAACAATTTGGTAAATCTAAACCCTCTCAAGCTTGTTAGACTATTTTCAGAAAAAGGAAAAAAATGTTTAAGAAGGATCTGATACCATTTTTGTCAAAGGGTTAGCTGTGTATTTAACAAAGATATATGAAGAAGACTGTGTATGAAATGGTTTTTGTTATAAAGTGAAGAGGCCTTTAAAAGCTCATCTTGGTGATGTTATTGACCTTACTTTCAGGATCACTCTTTGGTTCTTCGCATATTTGTGGTGCACCATCTTCACCTTTTGGTAAACTCATCAGCTTCTTCAATTCAAGGGGTATATCAGAAGCTGGTGGTGGTTTCATCAATCTGATGGAGGAAAATCTGCCTCCTGGATTCAGGTTCCATCCTACAGACGAAGAACTCATCACATGTTATCTTACAAAGAAGGTTTCTGATTCTAGCTTCACATCCAAAGCTATAGCAGTTGTTGATCTCAACAAATCTGAACCTTGGGACCTACCAGGTAATTAATTTCACATCACTATTCTTTTCTCAGTTCGATCTCTCCATGTATATATACCTGATTTCTTGTTTTTTCTAACTCTCCTTCAAATACTAGCTACCTAGCTTTGGTATTTTGTTGTCTATTTTACATGATTATTTGTGTTTCTTGAAGTTAGATTTAAATTTAATTCTATAAAATTGATCTGTAAAATAGGATTATTCTCTTATTTGTATAATCTTTTTAAACTCTACTTTGAACTAATATAATGTGAGACTTTTATTTGTCCAATAATATTCTTAATTTGACACAATCTCTTTATATATTGATTATGTAACTTATTATTGAAAAATATTTATATAGAGAAATTTGGAATGATAAGGGAAAAACATGGAAGGAAATTATTCATTCATTTAGAGTTTAGATTATATCATTCTCTGATTTCATCATAAGATTTTACTTTTTTCACCAGAAACTTGAGCTCTTACTGATACATATTCATTCTTGAGTCTGCGACTGATAATCTCAGATCCTTTTCAGTTTCATCGACCAAGCAAATATTAATCAACTAAGTCTTCGTTCTTTTTCATAGAATACAAGTTTGATCCATTCTATTTCTGCGGCGTGGCTTACAACTCATGCATATGCTGATATAATATATAATATCCTACTTTAGAAATATAAACTTGTGCCAAAAAAAAATAAAATTCTTCAACTCTTTATTTTTCAGTGTGAATAGTACCTAGATGTGTGCAGATTCATTGGCATATTGAACATAAAATAATAAAAAAATGGTAAGGATCATTGACATATTTATGTGATAATTGAACAGGAAAGGCCTCCATGGGAGAAAAAGAGTGGTACTTCTTTAGCTTAAGAGACAGAAAGTATCCAACTGGACTTCGAACAAACCGAGCCACTGAATCAGGTTACTGGAAAACCACAGGGAAAGACAAGGAAATTTTTCGTACTGGTGTTTTGGTAGGAATGAAGAAAACCCTAGTTTTCTACAGGGGTAGAGCTCCAAAGGGAGAGAAAAGTAATTGGGTCATGCACGAGTATAGACTAGAAAACAAGCATCACTTAAGACCTTCCAAGGTTAGTAACTTAATGCATCCATCACATTGACCAATATCTCAAGTTATACATGCATTACAGCAATCATATAAATTCTAATACTTGTTCAACTAACCATATGTATATTTATCAGCATAATGTATACACTTAACTTCGGTGCAATTGATTATACAAGATCCATTATCATAGTAAATGCATGTTTATATGTGTCCATATCACATGTTCAAATTAGGTTTTGTGGTTTGACAAATTAACTTTTTGTTATGATGTTTGCTTTTGTAGGATGAATGGGTGGTTTGCAGGGTTTTCCAAAAGAGCTTACAAACGAAGAAACCACAGGAAACTCCCTCATCACAACCAGAGTCCCCATGTGACACAGCCTCAATGGTCAATGAATTTGGTGATGTTGAGCTTCCTAATCTAAATAGCATTGCAAATTCCTCAGGTGGACTCACTAACAACATTTCAGGACAGAGTTTTATGAATGCTGATCTCAGTAATAGTGTTAACACAAACATGAACTTGGCCATGAACTGGCCAGTTGCAAGTGAGGTTCAGGTTCCCTCTCTTCCATCCCTACCATGGCCTTCTGGGTTGCTAAATTCAAGTCTTTCTGTAAATTCATTGCTTCTCAAGGCATTACAAATTAGGAGTTATCAACAAAGAGAAGCAGCAGTAGCTACAGATCATTTTGCATCATATATGGCTCAAGGAGTTTCCCAAGTTGGAACTGACCTAAGTTCAAATCTCAGTGCCTCTTCTTCAAAAGTTCTAGAATGTATGCCACAGCAGCAACAACAACAGGAGCAACCATTCAATTTGGACTCCATTTGGTGAATTTGTCTAAATCAGAAAACTAACATTGTGTAATTACATCAACCCTCCAACCCCCATAAATAAAATGGAACCACTTCCAAACTAAACCCAGCCACTGATGTTGTAAAACCTTGTTCTTCTATTGTAACCAGGTGTCAAAATAGGAAACTTTTAAATCACTGTTAATTTCCTTTAGTGTTTTATCATGAAGAGGAAATATTCTAAGTCATCATGAGTTTCATGTTTCATGATTAATTCGACATAAAAAATCAAGAAAAAAAAATTATTATGTACTGTTTAAATAAACTCATAAGAATATATTTGTGTTTTGCTAAATCTCTACCTGTTTGATCCTGATTCAACATGCAGTTTTTCATGGATATATATTATTAAAATTATATATATAAGGATTTTATTTCTCATATCTTTATTACTTTAATTGTGTAATATAATAACCTATTTTAATTATTAGATTAAAAAATATATAAACGGTGAAGATGAGATATTCTTTAACATTTATTATCGTGGAATACGTGTTCTTATTTATATTTTAATTTAAAAAATGTTTTGAATTTTATTTAAATATAAATTAATATTATATTAAAATTTGAATGTAGAATTTTAGAGAATGAATAAGCAGGTTAAGTTATTTATCTGATACATATACTTCTCTAATAAATTTCTTAACTAGTTTAACCCACTAATGTAGGACTTGTGTTATATGATAAAAATAATTGATTAATTTTCTTATATTAATGATAGAAGTCATAAGTGAAGATAGAAGACCAATGTTTCTAAAAGATATAACTGAAGTGGTAAAAATATGGGTTAAGTTTAAAGGTTTAACTTGAATTAAATCGAGTTATAACTGAATTTAACAAAATAAATTTTATTATTATAATTACATAATTTATAATAAATGTTATAAATATAAAATATATTATATTAATATTAGAAGTATAAGATGAATAATGGTTAAAATAAAATAAAAATATAATAAGATAAATATTATTTAGAATTAATATAATTAAATTGAGATAAAAAAAATTAAAATATATTATATATTTTATAAAAAAATTATATTACAAAAAATCATAATTTTTTTCATCAAATAAAAAATCAGCCAATCTTTTGGATTTTATCAGTTTTATCCTAATTTTATCCCGGTTTAACTTAAATCCAATTATTTAAGAAACCTATTCTTAATTAAATCAATTCAACTAATGATTTTCAAAATAATACCGAAGACCATATCTTAATTATTTATCTGATAAAGTCATGGCCCATAATTAAGAAATCTTTATAAAAATAAGTATTGGTTCACCAAAAAATAATTTTAGTTTTTCTTGAGAAAAAACTGTTGAAAATTTATATATATATATATATATATATATAAAAGGTGATTAAAAAAACTTTTATGAAGTTACTCAAATTTAATGAGAAAAGCTAATTGATATATGTCATACCCAAAGACACTATTAAATCAAATCCCAAAAGTGGTTAACATTTTTGGACAAAACTACTTAAACATATATAAGTAACTAATTTTGTTTTGTTTGCATAAAAAATAAATGAGAAAAAACTCACCAATTAAAATGATTAATTTCTAGAAACATATAATTCGTAGCTACGGAGTTAAGGGCATTTATTAACAATGGAGGTGAGTTGAGTCAAATTGAAGAAAAAAAAAGGGTAGTGGGTGGAGCAGAATATTAATGTTTAATGTTCCATGACTACCACCCATTTCAAAATGGCATCTATAGGAAAAATTGATACTTCTGTCTTCCTCAAACCTAAAAAAGGAAATTATTGTAATTGATTATGGATGGGAGCACATGCATGGTCTGACCAAAATCAGAAAGTAGCAGATTTAGGGTTCATATCATAACTTTGTCTAGGAGTCGCACATTTCAGACTCTTCGTCTAAAATAACAAGTGCCTTTTCAGAGGATAAAGTAAAGTGTTATAATGATTTAAATTAATGGTTAATTCTTTGATAATTTTATAATTTTTATATTGTATATGTTAAAATAATTTTAGTTACTGATTTTTCATCATTGTTATTGTATGCCTAAGTCCCTTATGAAGTATTTAGTAATCAATAAATAAAAATAAAAATTATATTAATTGATTTAAGTTATGAATTCATATTAAACTTAATTTAATGTAAGTTTAAGCATACACAAATTTTTTTGTTTTAAGAGAGTATCTTAATTTTATATCCATTAAGATAATATTAATAGAATAAATATTATTTACTTTAAAATTTTTATCTTTCATAATTTTATTTTTAATATAATTTTTTAAAGACAAAATCGGAAGAAAATTTAAAAATAAATAATAGTTTAAAGATGTAAATTGATCTTACCAATATTTATAATATTGGAAGATTGAGGATACTTGACGAAATAATTAATGTGCTTAGAAAAAAAATTGCTAAGTAAAATTAAATCACAATTCTTTTACATAAGTTTTTTTTATTTGCGACGGAAACACAAATAATTTTTGTATTGATTTACAGAAAAATGAAAAATTATTAAAATTTTCTTTTTCCGTTCCTATATTTTCTACCAAACAAATTCTCAATTTTGATTTGACTAGTCCTTTTCAATGTTGAAGAGCATTTGGAGCATTTTACACACCGAAATGGAACTATGGATGCAGTGTATAATTATTTTTAAATTAAAGTGCATTATATATTTAATAGAAAAATGTTTTATATATTGTTTAAAAGGTAAATTTAATTTAAATATATTAACAATGTAAAGGTTGTTAACATAAATACCACAATACAATTAGTGATTCTCACTTTCCTCCTTTGGTCTACCATTTTTTTCATTTTCTTATTCCTTGTCTCCTCTTCATAAAACTTTGCTTGAACCACCTAAAGAAAACCAAAAGCCTCTTCATATATAGTATAATAATGGAAGAGTGCATGCATTTAGAAAGTTTATGGTGATTTCATATTTGTATATATATATAAGGGGCACTAGGTAGCACATTAATTAACCTAGAGTGGTGAAGAAAAGTGGATCCCATCTCATAAATGAATGTGGTCAGAAAATATTAACTCCCCATCAGCTTGTAATTAAATTTTGGAACCAAACTCTCTGATATATTGACCTAGCCACTACCATCTAACCATATGTAACTTAATGCATGCACACCCCTTTTCTTTGGGAACCTTTCTCTCTCTCTGTCTCTCTTAGTTTTCTCCCAATAACTTCCCCACTTACTGCTTCTGCTTCTCACTTCTCTTGGTTTCTTCTGCATGATTTGAGTGACATAGTTGAAGAGTTCGAGAAGGAGGCATGGGTGGATGCTCAAAAGAAGACATAAAATATATGAATGAAGACTTGCAAACCATTTTTCTGGCCAACTTGGATGAGGCACCCGCTAGAAGGCGTGCTCGTGAGGCTTTCAAGGATATTCAACTTGCCATTGATCATTGCTTGTTTAGGGTTCGTATGATGTATCTTCTTTCAAGACAAGTCACACACATTCACACTCTCTTTTTCATATACAATCATTTTATAATCCTCTTCACACATATGTCTCTGTATTTTTAATTTTAATAAATTATAATTTAATGTATATATTAATTTTAAAATATAAATATTTGTCCTTCAATTTATGCATTAGTTTCAGAAAAGAAAAAGAGAAATTAAGAAGAATTAATATGTAATCAACAAAGAGTAATAAAAATATAAAAATAAAAGTGTAATATAAGAAGGTATTATCATTGTTATATTATGAAATAACAACGTGTGCATGAAAAAAATAAAAATCAAAATACCATCTTTCTTTTAATCACATTAACTTTACATAAGTATTTTTTCAAAATAAAGTTCTTTTTTCTATAGTTAATTTGTAGAATCACTCTCATAGTTGCTTTAAATTCTTTTTAATTTATATATAAGTTATTATAAATGTAAAATCAATTTTTTCAAATACTCCTCCAAACATACATTTTATGTGGAATAGGTGTTTTGACTTGAAATATGAACAATTAATATAACAAGTGATCTTATATTGTTACAAGAGACTGTTTTTTTTTTTTTATTTATGTTGCTGCAGAAGACATTTAACGACGGTTAGTTATAGGTGATTCTTTGTTTGGTTTGAAAGGAAAATGTAATTAGAACCAAACGAATCAATATAATCCTGATAATTAATCATACACAATTGATTTTATTCGATAATCATATCAAACCAAGTACAATGGTTAAATCAGTTTTTAATTTTTTTTTTAAGTACAAATTTGATTTGATTTTTTAAAACTTTTAATTTTTCCTTTGATAAACCATTTTTTTTTTGTAATATTTTACGATTCAAGCAATAATGCATTTATTTAAAGATCTCGATTATTATAACATTTCCCATATATGGTTGTGTCGTGTAAGACCACAACAACCACCGTAACGTTATGCAACTACCTCTGCAATCACAATTTAAAGCATTGAATATAAACAATGACTTTCAGTTTTATGTGCCATCAGAATAAAGATTTTCATATTCTTAATCAAACAAAAATATTTTAAATATAATTTTTTGAATAATTATTATAAAATTAAAAATAGGTAAACTAATGATAGTGGCAAGAAAATTTACACTTTAATCACTTGGTGCTCATACTTTTATTTTATACAATAAGATGTAAAGAAAAAAATAGAGAATATTATTGGCTCATTTCTGTTTTTTAATTTGCTGCAGTTACCATCAGATGGGGTGAAGATGAAAGAGGTGAAGGACTCATTTTTATATGCTCTCATTCAGTTTATGCTTAATCTTTATGCCTCTAGTTACATCATGTTTTGAGTTCATACCTTTGACTTTAAACTTAGAGAGTGAAGAATAAATTTAAAAAGTGGGAGAGGAATGTGAAATTTTCCAAAAAAGAAAGTGTTCATGTGCAATAGGCTAGCTAATTGTATTACACAAGTACTTATCAATAATTTGGTAAATAATTTCAAATATTTGTTTGTGTACAGGTTTATGAAGTGAACTCCAGAGGAATAAAA